AATGACTGACTGAGCATATTATAGCGGGCGAGAGAGAGCGTGCTCTCTCCGTGTCATTTTGTAGTGATGCAGTTGTTTCAGGTGCCGTTACCTCTGGTGAGCGTATGGTGAAGTATGCGTTGTTGGTACGAACAGCCGAAAGTCGACGGTCGTCTTGTTGTTGTTGCTGCTGAGCACGAGTTTTGCTCATTTTTTCTTTGGTAAACAAGCTTGTGCTCTTACTCAACAGCATTGCTTTATTTTAAGCAATATTCCACCCTTTAACAGATAATTTATATGTGTAACACGAGCACAGGTGCTCATGCGTACCCTAAGCGTCTTTTCGCGAATTAAATTGGTGTTAATTGCACTTTAAATTTGTTACACGGCGGAGCGATAAAAGAACACGTCCGACGTCGTTCAACATTCGAATTAGAAATTAGAAGTTGATTGGTGAAAAAATGCGGATTTGTCAAACAAACTTTGGAGCTAACTTGGAGCTCGAATGTCAAAAATGCTCGAAGTGCTCACTACTTGAGCTCAAATTTTATTTATGGCTATAAGTTCTTGTTAAATCATTCTATCATGATGATGGCATACGGACACATAATAACTAACTGGGGGTGTTTGCAAAATTTTAGTTCGAAATTCCAAGAATTACGGGAGTTAGAGAAAATCGCGATTTTCATGGGAGAGGGGGGAGGGAGGGAAATTCTAAAATATACATTTTCTACGTATTCACATAAGGCATCTGGGACTAAAATTTGGTGTTCCTAGGTCTTATAGTCTCCGAGATATAGGCGATTATACGAATGGAAAATCGGGAAAACCCCCATAGGGGGAAAGTGGCGGGGAAAATCAAAAAAATAAAACAATCTCGTATAGAATACACACATAAGGCATCTTTGTGCAAAATTTGGTGTCTCTATCTCTTAAAGTCTCTGAGATCCAGGTGTTCATACGGACGGACAGACAGACAGGGCAAGATCGACTCGTCTTGTCATGCTGATCAAGAATATATATACTTTGTGGGGTCTGCCACGCCTCCTTCTGTGTGTTCCATGTACACTCTCACAAAACTAATATACCCTTGTACCCTTTGGGTACTGGCGAGAATTTGTTTCGCTAATAACTTTTCTTAGAATTGACCGAATTTGATCAAATTTTAAACAACAGTAGATAATTATATAGAAATTATGTGTGCATTATAAAGTATATATATTCTGAATCAGCATGACGAAATAAATCGATCTAGACATGTCCGTCCGTCCATCTATCTGTCCGTCTGGATGAACGCAAGAATCTCAGAAACTATAAAAGCTGGAATAACCAAAATTGGTATCCAGATTCTCCTAGGTCCGAGAAAGGACGAGTTTATTTTATTTTTTTTTAATTTTCCCCCCCTTCCCCCGCTACAGAATTTCGTCAATACCTACCTTTACCAAACTTTGCACACATAATTTATACTAATAATCTACTTTTGCTTCAAATTTAATCTAAATCGGTTAATTCTAAGAAAAGTTATTAGCGAAAGATTTTCACTCCGGTACTACGCCTACAAGCTGCAGCTTCAAGTTCGCCTCTTCTTCTTCCTTTTGCTTCTGCTAGAGGCGCATATACCTCAGTGTCGGTAGTTTACCTGAGTACAGGGTATTTCACTGTCGGGTTTGCTCGACTGTAGCGTTCTCTCTTTAGTTTTTGCCACGCATGGAGAGCCACCATATAAAAACAAAATGTTAGTTAGGATTATAAACGCAACCTAATGAATTTCCATTTTATTTTAATACTTCCGTACTGTGTTCTCTATTTACTTTTGCCATTTGAATAAACCTTTTTATGTTTTTGAAAGTAATAAATTTGAACATTAAAAAAATTTGGTATGCATTTTTCGAAGTCTAGGAACCCCTTATTTTGTATGGAAATACATGGCTCGTTTAACACGAGTTCGCTTAACACGATGTTTTCAAGGAACGTAACGCTCGCGTTAAGCGATGGCTAGGTGGACATACGTAGAAAGCGGGGAAAATATCGCATTGAATATCATATCGGATTTTACTTAAATATTGTATCCTAATATCGATATTTCCACATCGATACCCATCCCTAAGGCAGTCTGACTGCTGTGATTAATTAATGAACAATAACTTATCGTTTTTGTGTCCAATAGAGGATGATAAATATTAAGATTTTGGAGTAGGGTTGTAAATAAAGTACAAAACATCGATGTTTCACACAATCGATCTATCGTCAAGTGCCATCGATTGTACTTCGATACATGGGACAAAACATCGATGCATCGATTTTTTTCATTCTCATACAAATTTTAAAGGCCACAGTTGTTAAGAAAAGTATTTTCAATACTACTGCATAACAAAACACAAGTAATACAATAAAAAATGAATATTTATTCATGTAATTATTATTGATATTATTTAGTTAATTATTAAATATTGCTTTGAAGTTATTCTGCAATGAAACAATTTACCTACATAATTTGGTATACATACATACACTGCGCGACAACCGATTAGCACACTCTCTAACCTTGCAGTGCAAATGCGAAAAACTCAGTACTCTGAATATGTATCATGCTCAATAGTTTTTTCTTTCATTCTTCATTATTTACACTCTTGGGAAAAGAACTGTTATGCTCTGGAAGTGTACCGTTAGTTTGCTATGCTGTTTTCTTTGAAGTGACAGAAAAAATGCATGGTTTTTTCTGTGACAGCCGATTAGCACACTTACGCTTCAGTGTTAATTTTTGCGAGTGCGTTGTCGTATTTGGCTTATTCAAGTTATTGTTCTATAAATTTAACCAATTTTCAATTAAATTGAGTTAATATGGGGAAAGCTAAAGCGTTGAATGATACCGAAAAGGCAAAAATAAAGACATATAAAGAGTGTGGCCACTCGATTCTAAAAATTTCAAAAATAATGAAGCGCAGCCGTAAAGTTATTTCCTCATTTTTAAGTAATGAGTATGCCTATGGGAAAAATATGAAAGGTCGTCCCTCTTCTGTGATAACAGCAGCTGACAAGCGAATTATATTTAGGCTCGCGTCCAATTCACACGACTCAGCCGCCAAAATTAAAGAAAAAACAGCTGTTAAGGCGTGTGCTCGTCCGAGCAAAGAGTAATTTCAAATGCAGAACACTTAAAGCTCCTGAAAATAAAAAAAAAACCCCCTCTAAACCAGATCCGAAAGGCGCAACGACTCGATTTCTGCCGATCGAATATGACCTGGACCAAGGAATGGGAGCGTGTTGTCTTTTCAGATGAAAAAAAATTTAATTTGGAGGGTCCAGATGGCTATGCTTACTACTTTCATGCTCTAAGAAAGGAAGAGCATACTTTAGATCGACTGCACAGCCGTGCCGGTGGTGTGATGGTATGGGGAGCAGTTACGTACTATGGGACCATAAAACTCCAATTTCTTACAAGTCGTATGCCACATCATACACAGAAGTATTGAAAGCAGCTTTTCCTGCAATAACTGATATATTTGGGTCCTTGGAATGGAAGTTCCAGCAGGATAACGCACCTATCCACACTGCAAGAGTCGTAAAGACTTGGATTGAGCGTCAAAACGTGCCTTTACTGACCTGGCCGCCATACTCGCCCGACCTGAACATTATAGAAAATGTTTGGGGATGGTTAGCACGCAAAGTATACGAGTCTTGAAAGCAATACTCAACTGAGTTGGAACTAATTCAAGGAATAAAAAGTGCGTGGGAGACCATTTCACTAAATTATATAAAAAAGTTATATGACTCCTTACCCAACAGGATGTATGAGGTCATAGTTAACCGTGGCGGCTCAACCCATTATTAATCCTTCTTAAATAAGTTAAGAAAATGCAGAATTTCACATTAAAATTTGATTTGGGGGTCTAAAGTCTCCTTCTTTTTATGTTATTCGATATTTACATGAAGGTGTGCTAATCAAATGTCGCAAAAATAAAAGTGAATTTTTCGTATTAAATTTGTAAAAATTCCATTAAAATATAATTTATAAAGCTAATACAATAACTATTACATTTTCTAGTGTATAATTTAATGAACTTTTATTAGCTAAAAAGTTTATTTTAAAAACTTTAAAGGATAAGCTGATATTAAGCTTTAAAAACAAGAAGCATAGAGTGTGCTAATCGGTTGTCGCGGAGTGTACATATATCGCAATATGCGCAATATTTAATTGGTGGGATACACAAATATCTTTGCGAACACACATAAGTGGGTAAAATGCCGGTGTATGCACTCGTATATTAACACAAATATTTAAGGTTTACAGTTATCAAATTTTTGTAATTAATTAAAGCTTTTACTTACTTTAGCATTATTTACATTTATTATTTTATACTTTTTTGGTAATGATGTCAAATTGATTTTTAAATTAGACTGTTGCTTCTTCCAATAAATTCCGTTTTATTTTGAATTCCATATATAAATAGAGATGTTACGATTTCGATGTTTTTGTCTAAGTATCGATGATCGTCGATATATTGCGTTCAAAAAAAACACCGGAAAAAATCGAGTACTTACTATCAAAACATCGACTATATATCATAAAATATCATTTCATTTTTCATGTAAAACATTGTAAATATTGTATGTACATAGATGTAAGTGCGTCCTATAGATGCTTACTATAGACAACTTTTGTATTCCCAAACTTTCAACTAGCTTAAGCTGCCATATTGGTAGTAGAAAACTAGTTTAATAAATTTTATGTATGTAAATAGAAAAGAACAAAAAAACAAAAACGATGTCAAAACCAAATCGATGTTTTTTTTTACAACTAAAATCGGTCGCTGTGTCGGTGCTGTCTGATTTTCAATCTGCTTGTTGTTGTTAAACTTGGTTTTCGATCCATGTAATTCCGACAAAAATATTCGTGCCAAGAAAGTAACAAGTCAATCACAGTGGACTGTGATTTTAAGCACATTTTAACAATATTTCATAAATGTGATTTGTTCACTTTTAGTATTAGTGACAAATCACAGGCATAATTCTTAACGCTCAACTCTAGCGCCCACGTGTAGGGCAATTGAATTGAAACCTAAGGTATTTTTGCGATTCAATTTCTAAAGGTGCGCAAATGAGTACGCCATTGAATAACAAAAAAATTGTGTTCAGTGATGACGGAACGCCTTTGGAAAACAAGGCCATGACAGAAAAGCTTTCAAAATCCAGGAATCCAGTACTGGTAAATGTAGGGACATCAACGAAACACAAGCTATTAGTGGATAGCAATGGTGAGGCTAAAAAGCCAAAGCGCATTAAATTTGACAACGATGAAGCTGAAAAAAATATAGACGACACATCTGTCTCTGAGGATAGTGACGAAAACAATGATGACCCGGACAGGCGCTTTCAGTATCAATCGGGTGCAGAAGAAGTTCATAAAAAGTGGTATCATTTGGTAAATATATTGTTATACGGCGAGATTTTTGTCCTAACTCTACAAATATTTAGTATCCTCAATTCACATGCTATGATGAAGTGCTAGACCTAAAAGAAAACGAGCAACTGGATATATTCAATACGTGCAAAAGCGCTTTCGAAGCAGAGAAGCCAACATATAACAAACGTATGCATTAACTTATGACAATGAACTCGTATATAAGTTGTAACATACGGATTCTCTTTTATAGGCAATCCTTCAGACGCACGCTGGTTACAAACTGCTTTGCACAAAGGCACAGCAAAAGATCGCGCCAACGCTGGAGCACTTCTTGTTACTAGCAATCCTCTGGGCAACATTGAAGCTCTTAATATACTGATCGAATTTTGCAAATTGTCTAATAAATCTTGTAATGATGTGATCGGAATTCTTACCGATCTATGGCAAGAAGTGCTGCTGCCGCCAGATCGGAAGCTTTTATCTCTAAACAGTCGAGGAGCTGACTGGAAGCAGCTACGAAAGAATTGCAATATTAAGAAGGATCACCAACGATGCATATGTGCCTACTGGTATTTTGAAAATGAGTTAAAGGATCTTTACTTTGGTAAGCCAAAACTAAAAATATTTGCAAACATTTCGATTTAAATATTAAATATTTGAAGAGTTCCTGAAAATTCTTATGCAAGGTCTACAGACAGGGCAAGAACATAATAAAAATGCTTCAATAGTTGCCGCTGCGCGTTTACTCTCCTACGCTCCGGAAAAAGAACAAATGTTGCTTACAATGCTCATAAATAAGCTAGGTGACCCAACAGCAAAGATTGCTTCAAAAGCATTGCACCACCTCAGTGAGGTAGCTCAACGACATCCCAACATGAGCACCGTTATTGTAGCGGAGACGGAAAAGTTGATTTTTCGAAACAATATCTCTGAACGTGCACAGCATTTTGCATTGTGTTTTCTGTCCAGCATTGCGCCGTCTGGTCGGGCCGAAGTGTGCACCAAATTGGTCAATATTTGTTTTTCACTCTTCAAAGTGCTGGTGCAAAGGGGTGCCGTGAACAATCGCACCATGCAGGCCATATTACGTTGCTTAAAAAACGCCATCTTTGAAGCAAAACCTGCTAATGGCAAGACTGAACTGCTCAACAAAGAGATGCAAGATACCATTTACCGTTTGGTTCATTTAGCTGATATACGTGTCTCTGTACAAACATTGGGACTACTACTCCAACTTATCACTGTAAAGACAGAAAAAACTGATCGCTTTTATAATGCGCTCTATGTAAAGTTGTTGGACTTGAATTTGATTAATATTGGCTCTAAAACGGCGGCACAATTACTGCATATTGTACATCGTGCTATCCACATCGATAAGCATATGCCTCGTGCTCAGGCCTTTATCAAACGATTGTTGCAGTTGGCGCTCTATTTACCATCCCACATCGCCGCTGGTTGCATGATTGTATTGCATAAGGTGTTGCGCATGCGCCGTGAACTGATTGATGACAGTGGACAGACCAAGGAAACGGCGAATAATGCTATACCAACTGAAAACGTTGTAACTGATAGTGAGGATAAATATGCAGAAAATGTATTGCCAAGCAGCCCCTGGCATCACACTAATATAAAAGCCGTCGCTAACGATAAAGAAGTACGTGTTATTGGCACGCGCCAATACGATCCCTACCACCGCGTGCCAGCTTTTGCAGGAGCTGCATATGCCCTGCGCAACGAGCTACAGTTGCTGCGTCAACACTATCATCCCACTGTGCAAGTTTTTGCTGAGCAGATTCTTTTACGTAAGTTAAAACTTTTTTTTATAAAAAAAAAACCCCCTAATAAATTTTAACTTTTAAGAAAAACGCATTGATTATTATGGCGATCCACTGCGTGATTTCGGACTGCCCTATTTTCTTGAGCGGTTCGCCTTTAAGAATCCCAAAAGGCTTAATAATCCGCATCCGGAAAGTTCCACCATCGCCCACAAACGATATATGGCATATGGTACACGTGGAAAGCCAGTTAAGTCGTTGACAAGCATCAATTGTACGGAGGATGAAATGTATATATTTAATTTCTTGGAGCATAAACGCAAACGTGCTGCAATGAGCTTGTCGAATGAACAAGAATTTAAAGCGGAGGCCGATTACGAGGGTGACTCTGAGTTAAAATATGGCGAAGTAGATGATGATGAATTTGAAGTCTATTTGGATAGCTATTTCGGTAAAAAATTTAAGGTTGCCAATGCAACAGAGAGCAGCGGGGACGACGAATTAAACTATCTCCAAGAATTGGGAGGCGAAATACAACATAAAAAACTTCAAAATGAAAACAAAAATAAAAAACATGCAGCCGTCTGCTCCGACGACGATGAAGACATAGATGACTGGAACGACAATGGTGATGGTGAACTAGACATAGATGGAAGTGTCTTTTCTGACAATGAAAACGGTTCTATTAATTTGGACGAGCTTGATGATGAGTCCGTTGATAAAGATAGTGATACAACCGATACACCAGAAACCGATGACAGCGATGACGACATAAACGTCAAACCTTCAAAGGCAAAGAAATCGCTTCAGAGTCAACAGTCAGGTTATGATAAGCGCAGCTTTGCCAAAAAACTCAAAACCAGCACTAGTGCGTATACAGTTCTGTAAAAAGATATTGTTTTATTTTTTTCATAATTTTTTTTACATTTTTTTTTTTTACTCAGACATGCTATCCCTGTTTGCTGCTGCTGATGACTTCTCTAATCTGCTGGAGGAAACTGGCAAAACAAGAGGCCAAGGTACTGTAAATGCTGTATTCAATATGGACAAATCATCAGATAAGCAAATTAATTGGGAGGAAAAGCGACGCTCAACCGGCAACCACGCAAGTAAAAAAATTTCTACCAAATCAGGGGGTCGCAAAAAGATTCAATTTGGAAAGAAACGTAAGCACTCAAAAAGCAGTTAATGTAACAATAAATAAAATGTAATAAATAAATTTTAAAAGAGATGTGTTCCGACTTTGAAATACTCTATGTGTAGAATATTAATGGAAATTATGAACAAGTCGAGCAAGCCCGACAGTAAAATACCCTGTACTCTCCACAAAAAAGGAAAATTTAAAAAAAAATGATGTACAATTTCAATAGTGCATAAGCCAGTGCGTTCGTTGTATATAAGTACAAAGGCTATTTATGTACATCTTTGTTTGGACCGTCGCCACAAGGGACCATTTATACATTGCCTACCGGCAAATTTGCTTGATCTGAGCGATCACTTTTAGTATATTCTCTCTTACAAATTGAATGGATACCGTTTCTATTCCAATTTTGCAGAAAGAAGCGGTGTTAAATTTTGCAATGTGTTGTCAAAATACTTTTGTCCACCGTTTTGACACCGTTACTTTGTGGGGTCTGCCACACCTCCTTCTTCCTGTTACATTTTCAGCTCGCGCAAACCTAATATACTTTACATTTCATGTACGGAGTATAAAAACCAAACTCCACACGCGCATCCGCTGTCTCAACAAGCAATGCTCTTGGATTGCCAAAATATGCTAACCTAGCGTCTACAGCGCTTTTCGTGGGAACAATCTCCACATCAACGAGAGCAAGTACAGGTAGAGGAACGGCCGCGGCAGCGACGTCACAAAGGAATAGGTGTGCAATAATAAGACAATTCTAAATTAGCATCTAGGTCTGATTTGTTAATCCATTAAATAAGACCTGTTGGTCTTACATAAACTATTTTTTCATATGCGCAAACATGTTTTGGTTTATCATGTATGTATGCATTTGCTCTTTGGTTGCCCAATTTAAAGTCTGCTGATCATAAAGTAAACCACACATGACATTGGTAATTTTGAGTCATATTTTTCAGGCGACCAAATTCATTGAATTCCCTTCATTACACAACACACTCGCAAATGAGACTCTTCCAGACCAGTTCAAATATTGAACATTTATATAGGTTATATTGAATCACAAATATTTTGAAAAACAAGAAAATTCCTTTAATATTTTAGCTCCTTGGCCTTGTCATGTGCACCCTCGTCGAGCAGTTTTACCTCGGCCTGTTGTTTTTCCGGACGTATCACAGTGTAGTAGTGGTAATACCGCATGCCAAGCATATATGTGCCATAAATCGTAACGCCGATACATGCGTAGACTGCACCACGGTGTAATTTATCCAGCAAATTACTTGCTTTCAATGGTTTTTTTTGCATCATGAATTCCACACAAATGCTGCTACTGATATTGTTACTAGTTTTGTGTAGGGCTGCCGCTCTTTGAAAATCAAATGTACCTTTATTTAATACCAAATATACCAAGTGACCAAAAAAATTTTGAAATGTATTTATTAGCGTTATAAATTACCTAGCCGAAAATAAACCCTTTCCTTTCATATCCTACAGCAGAAAGCCTAAAAATAATAATAAGCTTCCTAAAAAAAACCAAACTATACAACAAAAATTTAAGGCTAATACATATAAACGTCTCAATATTATAAATATAAATAATGTAAATAGTACAATTAGTTAATATATAATTATATTAATACTATAATTGTAAGTAAAATGCAAGCAAATATAGCTTAAGGCCATGGTATGCAGTCTATAAACCCCTGTTAACTTATAGTTCTAACTTTAAGTTAGCCCATTAAACAAATAAAATAAAATATTATAGCGGGGAGAATTTTACTGGCCTGCACGAGGCTCATTCATTGTGATGCACATCGAAATGGCGATATTGGTATTAAGATGCATTAAGTAAAGTCCAATATAACTCTCAATGCTATACGAGCCCTAACCACTATTAATTGGTACGGCAAGGTTTTTTTGGACAGTGCAACTTTCAATGACTCATATTTATTTGTAGGCGATGATTGCCCAAACATATTTATACTTTTTAAAAAGGTCATTGAATTACCTTTAATTTCATATCAAAACATGCACAAGTTTCATATCAACAAAATGAAAAAACTCAATTTAAATAAAACTTTCATAATACACGAAATATTTTGACCATTATTAATTGGTACGGCAACATTATATATTCATTAAAACTGAGTAACATCTCCTTTATTTTTAATAACACCCTGAATTCTCTTCTGCATGGTATTTACTAATTTAAGGCATTCTTCTGGAGTTATGGAATCCCAAATTTCCTGAATTTTTGATTTTAGTCCTGACAGAGTACGCTGTGGGTCATTCCTCAGCTTTCTTTTGATGATTGCCCACAAGTTTTCTATTGGGCTTAGATCTGGGCTTGATGACGGCCAATCTAAGACATCAATTCCATTTTCTTGAAGCCAATTTTTGGTTGTTTTTGCGGTGTGTGGTGATGCACCATCCTGTTGAAAGGTATATTCCCCACAATCAGAAAGCTTTGGTATTGATGGAAGGAGATTACTTTGAAGGATACACTTGTATTTTTCTGCATTTACAGTTCCATCGATAAAGTAAAGTTGTCCCACACCTTTGGCTGACATGCATCCCCACACCATTGTGCTCGTTGGAAACTTGACTGTACGTTTAAGACAATCTTTGTGATATGCCTCCGTATGTTTTCGTATTACTCGTTTTCGAGCATCACCGACACACACATCAAATTTGGATTCATCGCTAAAAATTATAGAATGCCAACGCCTCTGTTCCCAATTCTGCCTTTGTCTTGCCCATAGCAATCGTTTTTTCATCTGCAAAGCTGTGAGCAATGGTTTTTCTTTGGCCTAAAAACACCAACATATATTAATTGTACAGAAAAAATTATCTGTTATGCTAAGCAGGAACCGCAATCATACCTTATAGAAGCCATATTCAATTATTTTCATTTGCTGTCGAGTCCATTCTCGTTTCACTGTTTTCTCAATTTTTGCAGACAGTTTTGCCGATATATCTCTCACAGTACTTCGCCGATTTTCCTTTATTATACTCGACAAACTTCTTTTGTCACGCGAAGTAACTTTTGAGACTTTTTAGAATTATAGCTCGAACTTCCTCACAAACTGGCTTGCCACGTGCCATCGTGCACATAAATCAGAGAATAAAACTAAAACTACAACTAAATGTCATATGTTTTTACTTTTCCTTCATCACAATATTCTATTTACCGTTACTTGTCCAGTTTTTGTTTAAATTTTACATTTTTCACCGTTTTTTTTTTTTGACAAATAATGTTGCCGTACCAATTAATAATGGTCAAAATATTTCGTGTTGATTTCATTTAGTTGATATGAAACTTCTGCATGTTTTGATATGAAATTAAAGGTAATTCAATGACCTTTTTAAAAAGTATAAATATGTTTGGGCAATCATCGCCTACAAATAAATATGAGTCATTGAAAAAAACCTTGCCGTACCAATTAATAGTGGTTAGGGCTCGTATATGTGGAGCGCATAAATTTTTAATGCGATACATCGGACAATTCTCATCTCTGTATTTTGCGAATTATTCCTTTTTTATTTAAAAACAAGTAAAAAAGCAAAGGTCGGGTGTCCCGACTTTGAAATACTCTGTACATATGTTTACAATAATTATAGAAAATAAAAAAAATTAAGAAAATTTAAAAAAAACAAGTAAAAAAGCTAAAGTCGGGTGTCCCGACTTTGAAATACTCTATACATATGTCTAAAATAATTATAAAATTTAAAAAAATTAATAAAATTTAAAAAAAATTGGATCGATTTTACCTCTTGCGGTATTTGAACTCACGTAAAGGGTGTATAATTGCACATATACAAAGCAATTGCATCTATGTGAGTGTATGTATGTATATATGCTCGTATATTCGTGTCTCTGTAAGCATGTTCGCAGTCAACCAAAGCACCAGCATCAACAACAGCCGCGGGCAGCGCTTGGGCAGCGCTGCAGCAGCAAATATATTTATGGCTATAACTTCTTGTTAAATTGGTCTATCATAGTTGGCATACGGACACATAATAACTAACTGGGGGTATTTGCAAAATTTTATTTCGAAATTCCAAGAATTACGGGAGTTAGAGAAAATCGCGATTTGCATGGGAGATGGGGGCAAGGAGGGAAATTCCAAAAAACACATTTTCTGCGTATTCACATAAGGCATCTTGGACTTTAAATTTGATATCCCTAGGTCTTACAGTCTCCGAGATATAGGTGATTATACGAACGGCGTTACGGAAAAGTACGGGAAGTGGGGGGGAAAATCAAAAAATAAAACAAACTTGCACAGCGTACATACATATCGCATCTTTGTGCAAAGTTGGTGTCTCTACCTCTTATAGTCTCTGAGATCCAGGTGTTCATACGGACGGACAGACAGACAGACAGTGCTAGATCGACTCGTCTTGTCACGCTGATCAAGAATATATATACTTTGTGGGGTCTGCCACGCATCCTTCTGCCTGTTACATTTTTCAGTTCCCGCAAACATAATATACTTCTGTACATTTCATGTACAGAGTATAAAACAAGATAGAACGCTACAGTCGAGCAAGCCCGACAGTAAAATAGCCTGTACTCTCCACAAAAAGGAAATTATTAAAAAAAATTAATGAATTAATTAATTAAAATTAATTAATTAAAATTAATTAATTAAATTAAATTAGAATACATGTTTAAGTTCAGTTTTAACAGCATACATTTACATTACGTACCTATGCGTGTATGTATGCAGCACAAAGTTGAACCAAAGCAGCAACAACAACAACAGCTGCGGGCAGCGCTGCCGACAGATCTGCAGGCAGCGCATGAGCAGCGATTTTTACTTATGGCTATAACTTTCTTCAGAATTGACCTATCATGATGAAATTTGGCACACATTAGTACTAACTGGATGTACCTACCAAAATTGATTTCAAAATTCCGAGAATTACGGAAGTTATAAGAAAAAACACGAATTGTGGGGGAGTGGGGGGGTGTATCAGAAAAAATAAACAAACTCGATCTGCCTAGGGCTTATAGGAACCTTGATACCAATTTTGGTTATCCTAGCTCTTGTACTTACTGAGATCCTTGCGTTCATACAGACAGACGGACAGACAGACGGACATGGCTATATCGACTCGTCTTCTCATCCTGATCAAGAATATATATACTTTGTGGGGTCTGCCACGCCTACTTCTGTGTGTTACATACATGCGCACAAAACTAGTATAGCCTTTCACCCTTTGGGTACAGGCTATAAAAAGAATTGGCTTATATCGATACAAATCGATTTTCAATACGAACTATATTGCCGATATTTGATATTTTCGCTAAGATCTTTTCCCCGATATTAATATCGGACTTTTCTTTTCGATGTGCATCCCTAGATTTCGCACCTATTAGAGCATAAGTATCGATAGTCCAGAGTTATGGAAAAGTACTAATGGCTGCTGAGTCGTGGAAGGGAAGAAAATTTTTAAATACGCCCGTACTGCGTACCTATGTATGTATGTATGTATATAAGGCAGGGCTTAATAGAATCATCTTGATATCCTGATCAAGAATATATTTATAAATATACACTGCTGATCTTAGGTTAGACGCACGCTTACTTGCATTAAAAAATATTTATTACTTCAATGATGATACACGAAAGTTATATTCAAATGCCTTGGGTATTCAATGATACATTAAGTATATTATTCGAATGATTAAAAAAATTGGATAAAATTATGTTGTTCAAACATTTTCTTAAAGCTACCTAAAATAAGTAAATTTTTATTTAATTTAATTAATATAATTTTTTAAAATTAATTAAAAATTTTTTTTTTTCCTTTTTGGTGGGAGGTACAGGATATTTAAGAGTTGAGCTTAGCATTCCTTTCTTGTTTTCATTAGAACATGAATTACTGAGTAAGTATGCTAATTTAAATGTTGTGCAAATGCATAAGTTGACCGGTATACCTTTGCCAAGTTGTACAGCTTTTAATTCTATAAATTACTTTCATACTAGATAACACATCTCTAACACATCTCTATATATATAAAACAGTTTGTCCTGACTGACTGATTGGTGATCAACGTACAGCCCAAACGGTAAAAGCTAAGGAAGCTAAGAAGTGATTTTGGAAATTTCGAGGTCCAAAGGGGGGAAAACAGGCTCCAAAATTTGTATACATGGTTTTTTTGGAGACTGAAATATGGGAGTTTTCTTGTAAAAAAAATGGGGCACAAAAGGAAACCGCGTCAACAGCCCAAACGGTAAAAGCTAGGAAGCCGAAATTTGGGCTCAAGTATCCTATCATAGTGTAGGTGCGCACTAAGAAGGGACTTAGGGAAATTCGAGCTCCAAAGGGGGGAGAACGAGCTCCAAAGTTTGTTTGAAAAATCTTCAGTTTTTCACCAATCAACTTTAATTTGATTTTTATAATCTGATTGAATTTTATAATCTATAAAAGAATACAAACAAAACTGCATACTCGGGTTTTCGAAATTTGTGGTGGAGCTTGAATTATTGGGGTTTTAATATTTATTCACCTTTTCAAATGAAAAGTTTGTGTTATAAAATGTTTCCGATCGATTTCAAATTTGGGGACTGTAATCTACAAAACTAAATCTACAACTTTGCGTTCAAGGATTTTCAAAATATGCATTTTACAAATGCAGGCAGAACAAACAATACAAAATATCAAACAGTTGGGGACAACTAAGTATACAAAAACACACACACACATACATACAATGAGCTGTTCGTATAGTTGCGTGCTAACAATTGAAATAGCCAAAGCAAAATGTGAGACACTAATGTGTGAATGTACGCACATACATACATATGTACACATCTATATATGTATGTATGTTCATTCGTCTTGCACTGACAGAACAAGAAATGTTGATTAATTAAAAATTATTGATTTCTTCTAGTTGATCTCAATAAATTATAAGATGTTATTATTTAAATTTTCTCTTAATTGCATTCAAACTTCGATGGAATTATTGATTGTATCGACGGATTCAACTATCGATAGTTTTGATGCTCCGACACATGCCCATCTCTAGCATCTCAGCTGATCGCATATTTACAGCGACTTACCGTTTTAGTGTTAGCTAACAACGCTACAAATGTATTCTGAACAAATCTAAGAGTCATTTACTGTTAAGCCTATTTTGTGAGTGTATTTATGCGATTTACAAAAGCAGAAACAACACACCATTTACAATCACAACAATCATATTTGGAATTGAAGACACAAATTAGTGTTGAATTAAAAAATTTAATACATACTTATATATGTACGTATGTATGTATATAGGCGGATAACACCTGCATGAAAAATTTGAATGTATGTACATATCAGCGTTACCGAACGCTCCAATTTTGGCGGGACGTCCCGATTTATAGATCAAAATAAAATGTCCCACGTCGGACTTTTCGGGGATAACTCGACCGTGCGTACAACGTACTGAGGAAGCACACAGTTAAGTCAGGACTTGTAATGGTCGCCTGCATCCAAAATGAATTTTCTACTTTTATCGCAGCTCGGTGCTACAAAATTAGCACTGGCGATAAAAAGGGCTAATATTTGTCCCAAAGCTTCAGGCCCTTATCAGCTGTATTACTCCGAAAGCTTTTGGTTGTACAACTCTGGCTTTTGGTTGGAATAGCAAGCGCAACCGACTTCACCTATTTCCCTAGAATCAGACTATAGAAGGCCTGCTCGTGCTTCAAACTCCCTCTCTTTTGATCGACATACTTCTGGCCTAGAACCACGGCGTATCCACGCCCGCAGCCATAATCAATTCCAAAGGGAACCAACCTTCACTGCGGCTGGTCCTTCTATTGGCAACACGAGGTTTCAGCGCTGAACCTAATCAGTACGCATCCGAGGCTAAATGTGAAGCATCTGGCCTAACTATTCTACATAAAGTGGAGCGAAGTCCATTGCGGACACGCAAATTAGCAACCAATCCATGAAAATATCATTAAAAAAAAAAAAAAAATTTGAAACATAAGAAAATGTAAAAGTCCAGAAAGTGTGTGAATAGTGCCTCCAAATGTACAGCTATAAGTACCTATGTACAAATTTTTCTTGGTATATTTTTTGTCGTCTCCAAAAATGCTTAGTTGAGCGACTGCAGTGGTTTTCTTTGTTTTTTTTTTTAACGACCCTTGCCAAGATCAGTGCTTAAACCTAAAGAAAAGAAAGAAAGAAAAAAACAAGAATATAATTCCAAAACCCAAAATTTCCAAAGACATGTGTAAAGTTAATCAAAGTCAGCACTAAATATAAAATCCCAAAGAAATACATTCAAGTAATGTATTTAAGCGAGTCAACGCTGAATATAAAAATATAATGAAATGTTAAGTGATCTAAGCATTTAAATTAAATGCATACATATACATATGTCATGCACCTATTTATTGCACTTATTCCCAACAACAACAACACCATTGCTGGAGGGCCCTTCATCGCTGGAGTTTGCATATAAGTTTTACATACCAAGGTCAATGCACCTTGAATGCACTGATCGCGGTACTGCCCTACCTCACTATCGCTAATGTGAGCTTTTTTTTTGTTCGTTTTTAATTGCATTTTAAATCAACTTGCGCTGCATCGGGCAGCTCACTTGTTTTGCATATTTGATACTGATGATCTAATATACAAGTAAAGTAGCAAACTAAATATTAATTGATAAAGCACTGCACATATACTTTCGGACAAGACAAATATCTATATGTACAAAACTTATGATTATATTTTAAACACATGGTATAACTTTATATATATGTATACCTCCAATGTATATAATTATAATGTAAACTCTATTTTCACATTGATTCGTTGATAGTTGCAATGAAGCCAGTAAGCTCTATAACATTTTTTTGTTTCGATCTTTTGCTAGTTGTATAAGCTCCGTTATAAATATTACCCATTAATAAATACTGAAGAATGAATCATTTTTATTTTCAAATGAGTTGGTAACGTATGTTATTATTTTTTCTGATGACATGGTGACATAGTGTAGCTAGAACATGTGCTTTAGGGGAACTCCATAAACAATACTCGCATTGGTTGGGTGGGTATAAGCCGCGAGCATCGACTACCATCATCAGATCTCGCAAGCACACTAGGTATATATTCCGTCTGCTATACCGTCAGTTTTCCTCTCCGGTTTATTTGGCCTTTGATTTGTTTAATTGTTTTGTTGGAAGTAGGCCTTCCAAAATTTAGTTTCAGCAGCTCTATAATAATTTAATTTATATACATAAAGTCTTCAGGACACAGTTTAGAGAGCGTCGAAAGAAGAATATAGAATAGCCCAGCAAAGACGGGCAAGATCTGCTAGTACATACATATATGTATGTATATATGAATGTACCTATAACCATACATAGTATGAAGGTGTTTTTCCTTGATTTTTAGACGCTACAGCTTCAGCTTTTCTGATTTAACGGTGAACAGTTGAAAGGCTTGCTTTATCTTGACTGCTGACTTTGTCGAATTGGAAGCAATTCTAACAATTTTGCGTTCTGATTGTTCAGTTAGTGCTTTTGAGTGTTTTCGACATGCCTCTGGATCCTTTAAATATCTTTCAACAGCTGTGGAGCTATGCTTCCTCCCTTTGGCAATGTTTCGATTGATTAGATAGTCCTTGGGAGTGAAAGAAGCGTTCTCTTTTGTTCACTTTGTATAGACCAGGGTATATCAATTTACAGAGTAGTGCTGCCAACTTTTTAGAAGGAGTAAAAGGTGTTTTGGACGGGTTAGAGGGTGAATTAAAGATACAAATTTTTACAAAAAAAGTAAAAAAAAGCTACATTTCATTTTACAAAAAAATCCTTAAAAAATGTATTTCTCAAGGTTTTTCATCTTGTTGAATATTTTAAATGATATTTGGGCATTTTGTTCTGTGTCGTCGTATGCGCTTTCAAAAAAGCAACAAATAGGTACAGCGCTGCTTCTTGCTTCGATGACTTCACGGGCCAGCAACAAAATCAATTTTGTATTTCTGCTGAAACGCGCCCATAGAATGCATGTTTTTTCTTGTAAGCGAGCCAAAAATCTGTATTTTTCCTTGTGTTGCTTCGGCCTGAATGCATTTACACCTTTACAAATAACGCGATTGTTTCAACTCGTGAAAAAAAATGACGAAGGTGCCACGTATTCACTTCTTTTTACATAAATGTTGGCAAAATTACAAAAATTTAATGTATTTTTAAAAACCCAAAATTCCCGTTTCCAGTAATTTTGAATGTTTTTCCATAAATTCATTTCAAAAACAGCCAGATTTTACGGGAAAAAAAATCAAATTGGCAACACTGGTCCTTTGTTAAGCCAAAGCATACTTTTGTGTTAATTACTAAGTACATACATATGTTACTTTCTTAAAAAAAGCTGTAGTCGGCAACGTGTTTACGATGTATTAGTCATTGGATGGTAAGGCTGGTAGAAAATCGTCGATTACGAGTGAGCATAAACGAAATGTAAACAAATAATGGTGCTACCAGACCTAGAAAAATTAAGGTCATAATTGTTTTAACTAAATGGTAATGGTGCTGGCCGATTTGTTCATTTTATATAGTTCACTTTATAAATTCAGTAAGAAAGAAAATGATATGTCGCTTGTGCCTGTGTGAGTGCGATCGGGATGCCTTTTTGCCCATCTTTAATGAAGATAGCAAGGCCCATGGACTGTCCAAATTAATAGCAAAATACTTTCAAATCGAGGTGAGTCTTTAAAATGGAATACGAATGTCGCATAAAAAGATTTGTCCTCTCCGTCGCAGGTGACAAGAACCGACCCGGTGTCAATAAACGTATGCATATTATGCTGGCGCCATCTAAGCGACTTCGAACATTTCTGCGCGATGGTGGCCGACAAACAGCAAGCCTTGCAGCTGAAGACAGAGCCACCAGAGCCCGGCTTAATAGTTTGGAACACAGAGTGCGCAATGGAGTCGAATCATGTAGTTGGGGATGTTAAAGATCACATCCTTTGCGAGCCTGAAATTGATGCGGCACTGCACAATTTTAGCAGCGATAAGGATGATAGGCACGATTACAGCAATAGCAGCGACCCCAATAACGAATGTGACAGATTTGAGCAGACTGATACAGAGGATACTGCAACAGCTGCACAACAAATAACTCCATCAGACAGCTCAAAGAATTCAAAAGGAAGAGGAAGACCACGTCTCAAAAGACTTCAAAAGATAACAGCCATGAAGTATGAAAAGCACAAACAGACCAAGGTAGTACCAGTGCCACTCAGTACATTGCGTGAATCAAGGGCACGTGCTCGTGAACTGAAACGCAACACCGATGCATCATCAGCAGCAATAGACCAGAGCACTTGCAGACCGGCCCCAATTGTGGCTGAAGCTACCGACAAGTTGAGCACTTCGCCTAAACTTTCTTCTGTAGGAAAAAAGGCAAAGCGCGGACGCCCCAAGGGGCCATCTAAAGTGCAACCAGCCAACTTGGAAGCTAAGCGCAGCACTATAAGGGAAATGGATGATTATATATCGGCCAATGTTAGGTTAGATTGTTGCTTGTGTGCTGCACCGCTACAGGACTTCACCGATCTTAAGCGTCACTTCCGGATAGAGCATAACTGCACCGGGTATATGCAGTGCTGTAATAATCGCTACAAGAAGCGTACTCTATATGTGGACCACCTCCACTACCACAAGGATCCCGAATACTTCAGCTGCAAACCATGCCACAAGAACTTCCTTAATCGCAACAGTCAAGACATGCACATGCTACGCTTTCACTCTGAACAGCAGGAGCTTGTGCATCAGTGTGAAGTTTGTGAAGCACGTTTTGCTAAGAAATTCTTGCTGACCATGCATTTAAAGGGTCACAAAGGAACTGAGCGCCCAGAAGCTTGCGAAACCTGTGCAAAGACGTACGTTGCAGCATTACTGATGCATCCATCCATCCTTTTCACTTTTCATCGAATATTTCTTGCAGTTTCCGCACCAAGATTGAGCTAGCCGCACACGAGAAGCGCATGCATGACGCAGACTTCACACCCGTCATTTGCGACATATGCGGGGTAAACTTTCGTTCCAAGGCTAATTTTCTCATTCATAAGAAGTCGCTGCATCCAGACGGACCTGTGCCAGAGGTTCAGTGCCATCTATGTGGCCGATGGCTTCGTGATGAGCGCAGTCTGCGAAAGCACCTCGTACGCCATGATGACCGCGAAGGTAACAATAAATACAATTGCAAGCTGTGTGGCGCTGAAAAGTCATCTCGGGTCGCTTTAAGTAGTCACATGCGCTACCACCATTCGAGCAAGCGACATAAGTGCACGCTCTGCAGCAAGGAATTTAAATTGCCCCGTGCTCTCGCGGTGAGTTTTTTAAACCGCTTCGCTAATTAGTTATGCAGCTGTTTTTCCCTTCAATAGGAACACATGGCTACGCATACAGGCGTGGACCTCTACTCTTGCCCGTTTTGTACTCGCACTTTTAAGTCGCACGCTAATATGCACAACCATAAGAAAAAAATGCATCCCAACGAGTGGGTGCGAAAGTACACGCAGCCAAGTGCCCTTGGTGTAACGACTTCTACTTCGTTGCCACCTCCTTTGCAGGGCATTGTCAGTGGCGTTGACGACGATTTAAGTGCGATAGACGAGTCCCAACAAACAAGCACCTCTTCACATGCTGCTGTCGCAGTCTATGACATCATCAATCTTAGTGCTAGCTAAATAATGACTTGGTTTACACCAAGAAGGCGAACTCGTGAGGATTCCCACACATTGTTATTGATATGTTGATACTATGTACATATATGTATGTGAATTTGACCTAATAAGCGTGTTGCACATACAATCAGTTGTTTAAGCATAAATCTAAAGTATTTTCGTATAAAAAACAGCAAATGTAATTGTAATAAGGTGTGGGAGGCATTTGGTACGTAAGTACATATTAAAATGGGCAAAAGCTTGCAACCTATATGTCGGCGTCATTCTCGGCTAGAATGGTGCGTATCTTCATGAGCAAGTCCATCTTTACAGCGTCTGGCACCAATGTGCGAGCTTTGGGCGTCACCTCAGTGATCAGCTGCTCCACCGTGATGCTGTTGTTGCCTCCTTTCTCAAGCAGAATGTTGCGGCACAGCAGCCGCACCTCATCCCGCCAACCACATTCGATGAGGCGATTGCAGAGCAGATCCTTGATTTTCGAACGGTCTCCCGTCAGCACCGTGTACTGATCCACTACATTAGAAACGGTCATGATAGTGAGTTAAATGTAAAAAGGCCAACCCAAAGGTAATTATTATATTAAAATTACTTCAACCAAGATGTGTGCGTTTCTGAGTGCCCGTGCTTGCGTTTACTAGAGATGTTATATTATCGATGATATTATCGATAAGAAATGTTTCATTAGCTACCGATACAAAGCCATTCCTAATGTCGATATCATATATGAATAAAAATAAATGAATGTCGCCGGTTAGTGCTTTGTCGTGATTTAATATTAAAATTAGTATATTTTAGTAATTGACCATAGTTATGATAGTTTAATGGCAGGTGTTGCCCTGTACATATGTATATGTACGTACCTATCATTTCCAGAAAACTAACGAACAACTTTGGTAAGTTCCGAAAGCTAGGGCATATATGGTGCGCGAAATAACGCATTTATTGTTGTTGCATCTGCAATATATATACATTTTTTTAATAGCCGGACGACGTATCTTTTGCGTGCGAAATTAGTAAATAGGACAGTTTAAACTTTGTTGTGATGCAGCTGTTGTAACAGCAGAGCTGCAGGCAGCGCATGAGCAGCGATTTTATTTATGGCTATAACTTTCTTCACAATTGACCTATCATGATGAAACTTGGCACTCGGACACATTAGTACTAGATGTAACTACCAAATTTGATTTCAAAATTCCGTTATAAAAAAAACACGAATCGCGGGGGAGTGGGGTGGTGTATCACAATAAAAAATAAACTGAACCTGCCTAGGACTTAGGGGAACCTCGATACCAAGTTTGGTTATTCTAGCTCTTGTACTTCCTGAGATCCTTGCGATCATACAGAAAGACGGACGGACATGGCTATATCGACTTGTCTTGTCATTCTGATCAATAATATATACACTTTGTGGGGTCTGCCACGCCTCCTTCTGTGTGTTACATACATGCGCACAAAACTAGTATAGCCTTTGTGTACAGGTTTTATAAAGTGAATAAATATTAAAACCCCAATAATTCAAGCTCCAAGACAAATATCGAAAAACCGAGTATGAAGTTTGGTGTTATAGATTATAAAAACCAAATTTGGAGCTCGTATCAATGGTTTACCATAAACTATCGAGTAAGTACCACCATCGATACTTTGACAGAATCAAATTAAGCGCAGTTGGCAGCCTCCTATGATCTTTTATGCGGCCTTGCCTTACCCAAATTATTCGTTCTTTATAAATTTACCCTCTTACAAATCATATACGGTTAGCAAATGCTGATGTGGTGGGAAGAGTATGGGAAGAGTATATAGAAAAGAGCGCCAAATCCATATTTACTACTGGAAGTAAGAAAAAGATGTAAAAAATTTTGAACAATACAAAAATACTTCGTTTTAGAGATGATATTATTCGCTGCACTTGTAAACAAACACACACAAGCATGCCTGAAAAATAGCCCTTTTACGCTAAATATTTCTTATACCCATTCCATTTTTAAGAAATATGCCTAATTTTTCAATACAAATACAGACAAATGCTTGGCCGCACGGGCACAGGTACAGTCATCTCCAGCAATATGGTAAGTGCACCATTACACGAACACGGCCTTTTAAAATGTTCTTCATTCTTTGTTTCAGCTTTGCTTGTGCTTTAATGTACCAGTTTACACTAAACTCAAAGTGCCCAATTTTTGCCATTTTTGTGCAAATAAATCATCTACAGATAAATTATGTCAAATAATGCTTTTTAACTAGAAAAATTTAGACATCAACAATAAGAAAAATAATCTAGTTGATAAACAAAGCGCACTGAAGTTTTTAGCGATCTAATTATGATAAAGCTGAATCTATGTGGCATTCAAAAGGTTGTTAAAAATTATTTTTGTTTTGGCTCGGATACCTGAATGTTGCCTTGCTTAAACAATACGATACAAGTATTCTATTTTTCTCAGAAGAAATGGTTTACAAACCACATGTGACAAAAAGCGTATGTTCAAATGCTTTTAAAATAAGTATTTCAACAGAAAATTCACATATTTGCGAAAGAGAAACGTATTACGAGCCTTAACAAATAAACAAAAATTATAAACATACATATATTAATTATTAATATGTTGTATTTTGTACATGGTAACGTTATACGAGCCTCAACAATATATTAACTGAATTATTTATAACTTACATTTTTGTTCAACAAGTAGGACCATGAAATACATACATATACCAATCTTGCTTTTCCGTTCATAACGTTATGCATAAAAGAGAAACAAATATAAACATGCATTTAATTTTTCGACACATAGTGTCTTTCAACCATGAAAGAAGGCCAGAAAGTTGTTTCCTAAGAAAATTCATGTAACATCATAAAAATTGTGTAATTCGACTAAGCCTATTGCTGATTTTACTCATTAAATATAACTTAATTGTATGGAAAATGCGACAAATAAACTGATGAAAGAAAGGGAAGAACTGCTTTTAATCATGAAAAAGAATAAGATAGAATACGAAACAAATATTTATGAAATTCCAAACTAGGCAAGATAATTCTGTTTCCTAAAGAAATTCATGTAAAATCATAACTATATATTGTCTAATGTGGCCAAGGGCATAGCTGATTTTACCCATTAAATATCACTACTATATGGAATAAAGGCAAATAAACTAATGAAAAAAGGACAAATTACTTTTCATCATGAAAAGGAAGAAGATAGAATACGAAACAAATATAAACATGCATTTAATTTTTCGACACATAGTGCCTTTCAACCATGAAAGAAGGCCAGAAAGTTGTTTCCTAAGAAAATTCATGTAACATCATAAAAATTGTCTAATTCGACTAAGCCTATTGTTGATTTTACTCATTAAATATAACTTAATTGTATGGAAAATGCGACAAATAAACTGATGAAAGAAAGGGACGAACTGCTTTTAATCATGAAAAAGAATAAGATAGAATACGAAACAAATATTTATGAAATTCCAAACTAGGCAAGATAATTCTGTTTCCTAAAGAAATTCATGTAAAATCATAACTATATATTGTCTAATGTGGCCAAGGGCATAGTTGATTTTACCCATTAAATATCACTACTATATGGAATAAAGGCAAATAAACTAATGAAAAAAGGACAAATTACTTTTCATCATGAAAAGGAAGAAGATAGAATACGAAACAAATATAAACATGCATTTAATTTTTCGACACATAGTGCCTTTCAACCATGAAAGAATGCCAGAAAGTTCTGTTTCCTAAGAAAATTCATGTAACATCATAAAAATTGTCTGTATGTGATGTCCCCAACTGTTTGATATTAAGGGTTTTTTGTTATTTGTTGCTGCATTTGCAAAGCGAAAAACTTATTTTGTATATTTGGAAAATTGTTGAATGCCAAGTTGTAGATTTAGTTACGTGGATTACATTACCCAAATATAATCGATCAGACGAAATTTATGACACAAACTTTTAATTTGAAAACAAGAAAGAATGCTAAAGTCGAGTCGGCTCAACTCTTAAATACTCTTAAATCCCACTAAAAAGGGAAAAATTAAAAGAAAAAAATTGTAAATATATTAATTAAACACAAATTATTCGATACATATATACGATAGTGGAGACATGTTCATGTACAGTTTCAACAGCATACATTTACATCAGAATCGTGTATCTGCGTGTTTATATGCGAGAATGTATGCAGCACAAAGTCGAACCAAAGCAGCAACAACAACAACAGCTGCGGGCAAAGCTACAAGCAGAGCATGTGCAGCGATTTTATTTATGGCTATAACTTTCTTCAGAATTGACCTATCATGATGAAACATTGCAGACAGGCACATAATCACTAACGGGATGTAGTTAAAAATTTGGAGCTCGTATCAATGGTTTACCATAAACTATCGAGTAAGTACCACCATCGATACTTTGACAGAATCAAATTAAGCGCAGTTGGCAGCCTCCTATGATCTTTTATGCGGCCTTGCCTTACCCAAATTATTCGTTCTTTATAAATTTACCCTCTTACAAATCATATACGGTTAGCAAATGCTGATGTGGTGGGAAGAGTATGGGAAGAGTATATAGAAAAGAGCGCCAAATCCATATTTACTACTGGAAGTAAGAAAAAGATGTAAAAAATTTTGAACAATACAAAAATACTTCGTTTTAGAGATGATATTATTCGCTGCACTTGTAAACAAACACACACAAGCATGCCTGAAAAATAGCCCTTTTACGCTAAATATTTCTTATACCCATTCCATTTTTAAGAAATATGCCTAATTTTTCAATACAAATACAGACAAATGCTTGGCCGCACGGGCACAGGTACAGTCATCTCCAGCAATATGGTAAGTGCACCATTACACGAACACGGCCTTTTAAAATGTTCTTCATTCTTTGTTTCAGCTTTGCTTGTGCTTTAATGTACCAGTTTACACTAAACTCAAAGTGCCCAATTTTTGCCATTTTTGTGCAAATAAATCATCTACAGATAAATTATGTCAAATAATGCTTTTTAACTAGAAAAATTTAGACATCAACAATAAGAAAAATAATCTAGTTGATAAACAAAGCGCACTGAAGTTTTTAGCGATCTAATTATGATAAAGCTGAATCTATGTGGCATTCAAAAGGTTGTTAAAAATTATTTTTGTTTTGGTTCGGATACCTGAATGTTGCCTTGCTTAAACAATACGATACAAGTATTCTATTTTTCTCAGAAGAAATGGTTTACAAACCACATGTGACAAAAAGCGTATGTTCAAATGCTTTTAAAATAAGTATTTCAACAGAAAATTCACATATTTGCGAAAGAGAAACGTATTACGAGCCTTAACAAATAAACAAAAATTATAAACATACATATATTAATTATTAATATGTTGTATTTTGTACATGGTAACGTTATACGAGCCTCAACAATATATTAACTGAATTATTTATAACTTACATTTTTGTTCAACAAGTAGGACCATGAAATACATACATATACCAATCTTGCTTTTCCGTTCATAACGTTATGCATAAAAGAGAAACAAATATAAACATGCATTTAATTTTTCGACACATAGTGTCTTTCAACCATGAAAGAAGGCCAGAAAGTTGTTTCCTAAGAAAATTCATGTAACATCATAAAAATTGTGTAATTCGACTAAGCCTATTGCTGATTTTACTCATTAAATATAACTTAATTGTATGGAAAATGCGACAAATAAACTGATGAAAGAAAGGGACGAACTGCTTTTAATCATGAAAAAGAATAAGATAGAATACGAAACAAATATTTATGAAATTCCAAACTAGGCAAGATAATTCTGTTTCCTAAAGAAATTCATGTAAAATCATAACTATATATTGTCTAATGTGGCCAAGGGCATAGCTGATTTTACCCATTAAATATCACTACTATATGGAATAAAGGCAAATAAACTAATGAAAAAAGGACAAATTACTTTTCATCATGAAAAGGGAAGAGTATGGGAAGAGTATATAGAAAAGAGCGCCAAATCCATATTTACTACTGGAAGTAAGAAAAAGATGTAAAAAATTTTGAACAATACAAAAATACTTCGTTTTAGAGATGATATTATTCGCTGCACTTGTAAACAAACACACACAAGCATGCCTGAAAAATAGCCCTTTTACGCTAAATATTTCTTATACCCATTCCATTTTTAAGAAATATGCCTAATTTTTCAATACAAATACAGACAAATGCTTGGCCGCACGGGCACAGGTACAGTCATCTCCAGCAATATGGTAAGTGCACCATTACACGAACACGGCCTTTTAAAATGTTCTTCATTCTTTGTTTCAGCTTTGCTTGTGCTTTAATGTACCAGTTTACACTAAACTCAAAGTGCCCAATTTTTGCCATTTTTGTGCAAATAAATCATCTACAGATAAATTATGTCAAATAACGCTTTTTAACTAGAAAAATTTAGACATCAACAATAAGAAAAATAATCTAGTTGATAAACAAAGCGCACTGAAGTTTTTAGCGATCTAATTATGATAAAGCTGAATCTATGTGGCATTCAAAAGGTTGTTAAAAATTATTTTTGTTTTGGTTCGGATACCTGAATGTTGCCTTGCTTAAACAATACGATACAAGTATTCTATTTTTCTCAGAAGAAATGGTTTACAAACCACATGTGACAAAAAGCGCATGTTCAAATGCTTTTAAAATAAGTATTTCAACAGAAAATTCACATATTTGCGAAAGAGAAACGTATTACGAGCCTTAACAAATAAACAAAAATGATAAACATACATATATTAATTATTAATATGTTGTATTTCGTACATGGTAACGTTATACGAGCCTCAACAATATATTAACTGAATTATTTATAACTTACATTTTTGTTCAACAAGTAGGACCATGAAATACATACATATACCAATCTTGCTTTTCCGTTCATAACGTTATGCATAAAAGAGAAACAAATATAAACATGCATTTAATTTTTCGACACATAGTGTCTTTCAACCATGAAAGAAGGCCAGAAAGTTGTTTCCTAAGAAAATTCATGTAACATCATAAAAATTGTCTAATTCGACTAAGCCTATTGTTGATTTTACTCATTAAATATAACTTAATTGTATGGAAAATGCGACAAATAAACTGATGAAAGAAAGGGACGAACTGCTTTTAATCATGAAAAAGAATAAGATAGAATACGAAACAAATATTTATGAAATTCCAAACTAGGCAAGATAATTCTGTTTCCTAAAGAAATTCATGTAAAATCATAACTATATATTGTCTAATTTGGCCAAGGGCATAGCTGATTTTACCCATTAAATATCACTACTATATGGAATAAAGGCAAATAAACTAATAAAAAAAGGACAAATTACTTTTCATCATGAAAAGGAAGAAGATAGAATACGAAACAAATATAAACATGCATTTAATTTTTCGACACATAGTGCCTTTCAACCATGAAAGAATGCCAGAAAGTTCTGTTTCCTAAGAAAATTCATGTAACATCATAAAAATTGTCTGTATGTGATGTCCCCAACTGTTTGATATTAAGGGTTTTTTGTTATTTGTTGCTGCATTTGCAAAGTATATTTGGAAAATTGTTGAATGCCAAGTTGTAGATTTAGTTACGTGGATTACATTACCCAAATATGATCGATCAGACGAAATTTATGACACAAACTTTTAATTTGAAAACAAGAAAGAATGCTAAAGTCGAGTCGGCTCAACTCTTAAATACTCTTAAATCCCACTAAAAAGGGAAAAATTAAAAGAAAAAAATTGTAAATATATTAATTAAACACAAATTATTCGATACATATATACGATAGTGGAGACATGTTCATGTACAGTTTCAACAGCATACATTTACATCAGAATCGTGTATCTGCGTGTTTATATGCGAGAATGTATGCAGCACAAAGTCGAACCAAAGCAGCAACAACAACAACAGCTGCGGGCAGAGCTACAAGCAGAGCATGTGCAGCGATTTTATTTATGGCTATAACTTTCTTCAGAATTGACCTATCATGATGAAACATTGCAGACAGGCACATAATCACTAACGGGATGTAGTTACCAAATTTATTTCGAAATTCCAAAAATTACGGGGGTTATGGAAAAAAAACACGAAGTTTCGTAATTCTAGCTCTTGTACCTTCTGAGACGGACGGACATACGGACATGGCTGAATCGACTCTGCTTGTCATCCTGATCAAGAATATGCATACTTTGTGGGGTATTCTACGCCTCCTTCTGCCTGTTACATACATTCGCACGAAACTAGTATAGCCTTTTATCCTTTGGGTACAGGTTTTATAAAGTGAATAAATATTAAAACCCCAATAATTCAAGCTCCAAGACAAATATCGAAAAACCGAGTATGAAGTTTGGTGTTATAGATTATAAAAACCAAATTTGGAGCTCGTATCAATGGTTTACCATAAACTATCGAGTAAGTACCACCATCGATACTTTGACAGAATCAAATTAAGCGCAGTTGGCAGCCTCCTATGATCTTTTATGCGGCCTTGCCTTACCCAAATTATTCGTTCTTTATAAATTTACCCTCTTACAAATCATATACGGTTAGCAAATGCTGATGTGGTAGGAAGAGTATGGGAAGAGTATATAGAAAAGAGCGCCAAATCCATATTTACTACTGGAAGTAAGAAAAAGATGTAAAAAATTTTGAACAATACAAAAATACTTCGTTTTAGAGATGATATTATTCGCTGCACTTGTAAACAAACACACACAAGCATGCCTGAAAAATAGCCCTTTTACGCTAAATATTTCTTATACCCATTCCATTTTTAAGAAATATGCCTAATTTTTCAATACAAATACAGACAAATGCTTGGCCGCACGGGCACAGGTACAGTCATCTCCAGCAATATGGTAAGTAGTAGCACCAGTGCCATATGTATGTACATACATATGTATGTTTTACTATTTGTGTATGTTACGACTACGCTTTTCCTCTTGGGCAACGCCGGCTGGCTCAGCGGAATTCTCATTGGGTGTGTGGTTCCAACCCTATGCCCGCGTGAGTCGTACAATAACCGATAACACGGTTCCTCCATCGATTTTAACCAAAATGCCATCACTTACAATAAATTCGACGCGCCATAACAAAACAAAATTCAAAAATGTAAACAAACCAAAAATAACTAACATGACACAAACGAAACACTAACGTAACAAAAAAGAAACGGATCTACACGGATACGGACTCAAAAAAAAAAAAAACAAAAGGAACTACATCTGTATGTGCGGACGGACAGGAATTGGTGGCATCGGACAACTGTATGGGATGCAGCTGGAAATATCCCAGGCGTACCCTCCCTGCCTGTATCCAAAGGCAAAATGTTTCTTGGATACCCTAACATTGGGCCGTGCTTGGGCTATTCCATGGCAAAGGTGAGTCTCCCGCCCCTACTGATGCTGCTTTAACGGGTCATTATAGACAATGCTTCCATCAAAAGAATTTTAAATTGCTTGGTTACATATGCATATATAGTACATTTTAATGCGAATAAACGTAAATATTAACAATTATTTGTGTACATGAATTTGGTGTAAAGATTATGAACGAAAATGCAATTATAAAACATAAAAAAAAACAATACGACGAAGGCTTGCCAACAGCCAATACTAATAAGCAGTGAAGTCTATGAAAATAATCTGTTTGTATATAAATTGCGAATGTATGTATATGTGCATGTACATTAGGGAGGGTGCTTGCAGGTATAGTTTATATGTATTATTTTATTGGCAGGCGGGTACGCGGAGCACGTTGGGCTGCTGCTTTGCTGTAGCAGCTTCTACCAATAAAACGACGCGTAGGACGACTGCCTGGCAGTTGCAGCTCAAAAAAAAGGTAACCGGTGCGTGGCCAAGGAACGGACTCACCGCTGAAACTTCCTCCGCTGCTGATGGCGCAGACTGACGTTGTTGTTGCTGGTATTAGCGCTGCTACTGGCGTTGCTGGTGCTGTCGGTGCGGCCGTTTCTGGCGGCCGTTGTCTGCTCCCATGCGGCTGTATTTGCCGCTGTTGCTGGAGTTGCCGTGGGAGCTGCTGGCCGCTGTTGCTGGATTTGCCGTGGGAGCTGCTGGCCGCGCTATCGTTAAGGGTGGCAGCCGCTGATGATGGTGCTGATGCTGCCAATGGTGCGCTGCTACCGCTGTTGATGATGGTGTGCAGATGGCACTGGCGTGGACTTTGGCTGCTGGTGCTGCTCTCTTTGGCGCGCTAGCGGACGCCTTTACCTTTCGGTCAAATTGCCACTATGTCGTTGACCGGACGGCTCCCAACCAAAAAAAAAAAAAAAAACTCGTGCTACGACTCCCCTTTTATAGGCCGGATGCCATGTGCCTCGGATTTTTTCCTCCTTTTTCCCTTTTCATCCGTTTCTTGTAGCCTCTCGTTTCCTTCTCTCTCGCGTACCATCGGACCGCAACTCTGCGCCTGTGCGACCGCAGTTGCCACCCCGGCTCCTCGCTCGGTACCGCTAGATGGCGCTCATGCGAAATTTAAAGTTTCGCGCCCTTATCCGATGCTGCCAATTCGAGCTTTTGTCCACGACCGGCCCGATGCAACACCACCGCAAACACCCAAGTGGGCGGACACTCGCGCACCGAAGCGATGTTTGCGCGCATCCAACGGCTGGTGTTAGCCCGTTTTGCGTTCCGAGCCCGGCGTTGTCTTGCGTGACTCCTTTGCGGCGCCCAACGTAGGCCACACCCACTCTTAGTCTTCTGGTGAGTAGCTCCAGTTGCGTTCTCCTTTCTACGCCCATCAATTCTTTACTTCTTTCTATTCACGTATATACCAAAGGCTACGGCGCACCTACGCCACGTGCACTGCCCCTACTGGCCGCCGAAGATGGCTTGAAAATGTCCCAAAAACTGAATCGTCGTGGCTAGCCTGTGCGCGTTATGATGTCGATGCCAGTGTTAGACGAATCTTCCTTGGACTCAGCGTTCTCTTCTCGCATCGTCAACTTGATTGATGCACTTGTCGGTCGCTACCAGGTGGACACTGAGCTTTCGCAAGGATGCGATGACGAGATCCTGACCATGTGTGGAAATAAGCGAGTGCATGGCGCGTACCTCCAATGGAGACGATGGACTAAAGAGATGGTGTATGACACCTCGATGCGTAGCCGTATATTTAATTTTCTAATATTTATTTATTTTTTTTTTGTTATGAATTCCTTTCCAGACTCCGGGGGACCTCCGAAATCAAATGTAAAATTCGATAATTATATACATACATATAATAAACAACCAAATCCTCAAAACAAAAACAAACACAAAATAGTGTTATATATATATAACAACAACAAAAATGGAAAATTATATGGGCAAAACTATACGTAGATAATAAATAGATAATTACGCGAATAAATACGGCAATAAATGCAAAAAAAAAACGTTGAATTAATGCACACACAAAAAACGTTCAAACCCAGGAAAATGTAGCCATTCATGCAACGTAACAACTTATTAAAATGTAAACAAAAAAAACGCATTTTTCTCTCAACATCTGTATATAGGGGCTGAGACTCACACTCAGCCGGAACCCAAACACGGCTCCTAAAATTACTACGCCTTCTGCAGCTGCCCTACACCACAATCCTGCACTATTCGTTGCCTGCTACATTTATCGCCCTGACGGCGATGAAAGGCAGTCAACAAATTAAAAGGTTGTTTCATCACGATCAATTCCTCTCTGTCCACCATCTGCTCTAGTTCATCGTGCGTATCGGTGCATCGCAGGGGACTTTACTTGTCATCCTGGGCCACCGATACTCTATGTCCACCAGGCAAACACGATTGCACTACCGCGACAGCCCAGTGACTTGACTCAAGAAACACAACAAAAACCAAAACAAAAACGAAAAACACGAAACTCTCGCATTGGAATCCCCTTATAGCACACATTGCCCAGCGTCGTTCCAAATGGCAGTCGCAAACGAAGGGCCTACATCCGCACCTTCGTGACTTACTGTCCACGTCACACACGCTTGCAATTGGTGTTATACGGGATTCCGTCCCTAGCAAACCGATCAAGCGCACCCAGCCATCGGCTTCATTTGTTTTTTTTTTCTCTATCTAAACTCTCAGCCTGAGTACGGCGGCTGCCTAGACTCCTCCCCAAAAGTGGTACAGGGCCCTTAACAACTCCACCTACTCCTTGGCATTAAAAAATTCAAACATCAAAATTGGGCGCCATATTGTTACGACTACGCTTTTCCTCTTGGGCAGCCCGGCTAGCTCAGTCGGTAGAGCATGAGACTCTTAATCTCAGGGTCGTGGGTTCGGGCCCCACGTTGGGCGCCATATTGTACGACTCACGCGGGCATAGGGTTGGAACCACACACCCAAGGAGAATTCCGCTGAGCCAGCCGGCGTTGCCCAAGAGGAAAAGCGTAGTCGTAAATGTACGTGCACCATTACACGAACACGGCCTTTCTTCTTCATTCTTTGTTTCAGCTTTGCTTGTGCTTTAATGTACCAGTTTACACTAAACTCAAAGTGCCCAATTTTTGCCATTTTTGTGCAAATAAATCATCTACAGATAAATTATGTCAAATAATGCTTTTTAAATCGGTTTGAGACAAACATTGTGCTTACGAACCGATTTTCGAAGTGAAACTAGAAAAATTTAGACATCAACAATAAGAAAAATAATCTAGTTGATAAACGAAGCGCTCTGAAGTTTTTAGCGATCTAATTATGATAAAGCTGAATCTATGTGGCATTCAAAAGGTTGTTAAAAATTTTTTTTGTTTTGGTTCGGATACCTGAATGTTGCCTTGCTTAAACAATACGATACAAGTATTCTATTTTTCTCAAAAGAAATGGTTTACAAACCACATGTGACAAAAAGCGTATGTTCAAATGCTTTTAAAATAAGTATTTCAACAGAAAATTCACATATTTGCGAAAGAGAAACGTATTACGAGCCTTAACAAATAAACAAAAATTATAAACATACATATATTAATTATTAATATGTTGTATTTCGTACATGGTAACGTTATACGAGCCTCAACAATATATTAACTGAATTATTTATAACTTACATTTTTGTTCAACAAGTAGGACCATGAAATACATACATATACCAATCTTGCTTTTCCGTTCATAACGTTATGCATAAAAGAGAAAGATATACCGCAATTTCATTGATCGACACATGGTGCCTCTCAACCAAGGAAGATGGCCAGATAAATCTGTACCCCTGTTGCATCGGGCTGGTCACAAAAAAGCAAAGTGGCAGCGCTACGGGAGGCGACGAAATTTGAAGCTGGCACTGCAGCTCCATCTAGCGGTACCAAGCGAGGCAATTGCAGTCGCGCAGGCGCAGGGTTGTGTCCCGATGGTACCCCAAAGTGGGGAAAGATCAAGGCCCCGATGAACGGATGCGCAAGGACGTAGAAATCTGCAGAGGTACGACATCCGGCGTATAAAAGGCAAGCCGCAACACGCCACTCCTGTTTTTTGGGGGCGACCTTTTGGACCCACGGGGCGGCAACCTTTTTCTTTGGTTAGTAACCTGAGACCTGGAATTGCCCATTTATACGTACCCATATACATATCCACTTGAATGTGCTGACCGGTGCTTTAATGCCTTTCGTTCCTTGGCATATAGATTTTTGCGGCATATAGCCAAGTTTCGTGGACAACGGTGGAACTGTGCGCAGCAGCTGCAACGGCCCTCGTAAACAGCAGTACAGGCTGCATCGTAAAAGGAGCAACAGTAACAGCCAACAGTAGCAGCAAATCCAACAACGGCAGCGACATCAATAGCTGCATCGTAGCAGGAGCAACAGCAACCACGTCAGTCTGCGCTATCCGCAGCGGATCAGCCGGTGAGTCCGTTCCTTGGCCACGCGCCGTGCCATTGTTGTTTGCGTCTGAGCTGCAACAAGGCAGAGACCCCACGCGCCTGTCGTCCAAGTGTTGTTTGATACGAGCCTCAACAATATATTAACTGAATTATTTATAACTTACATTTTTGTTCAACAAGTAGGACCATGAAATACATACATATACCAATCTTGCTTTTCCGTTCATAACGTTATGCATAAAAGAGAAAGATATACCGCAATTTCATTGATCGACACATGGTGCCTCTCAACCAAGGAAGATGGCCAGATAAATCTGTACCCCTGTTGCATCGGGCTGGTCACAAAAAAGCAAAGTGGCAGCGCTACGGGAGGCGACGAAATTTGAAGCTGGCACTGCAGCTCCATCTAGCGGTACCAAGCGAGGCAATTGCAGTCGCGCAGGCGCAGGGTTGTGTCCCGATGGCACCCCAAAGTGGGGAAAGATCAAGGCCCCGATGAACGGATGCGCAAGGACGTAGAAATCTGCAGAGGTACGACATCCGGCGTATAAAAGGCAAGCCGCAACACGCCACTCCTGTTTTTTGGGGGCGACCTTTTGGACCCACGGGGCGGCAACCTTTTTCTTTGGTTAGTAACCTGAGACCTGGAATTGCCCATTTATACGTACCCATATACATATCCACTTGAATGTGCTGACCGGTGCTTTAATGCCTTTCGTTCCTTGGCATATAGATTTTTGCGGCATATAGCCAAGTTTCGTGGACAACGGTGGAACTGTGCGCAGCAGCTGCAACGGCCCTCGTAAACAGCAGTACAGGCTGCATCGTAAAAGGAGCAACAGTAACAGCCAACAGTAGCAGCAAATCCAACAACGGCAGCGACATCAATAGCTGCATCGTAGCAGGAGCAACAGCAACCACGTCAGTCTGCGCTATCCGCAGCGGATCAGCCGGTGAGTCCGTTCCTTGGCCACGCGCCGTGCCATTGTTGTTTGCGTCTGAGCTGCAACAAGGCAGAGACCCCACGCGCCTGTCGTCCAAGTGTTGTTTGATGTGAGCTGTACCTGCAGGGTCCCACGCGCCGCCCCATTTAAGTTTCTACAAAAGAAAAAAGAAAATAATACAATAAAAAAAATATATATATATCTATAGCCAAACCGAAAACGAGGCAGAAAGCGGCACCTAAACAGAGCTTTGCGCTCTATTTAATAAAACAAGTAAAAAAGCTAAAGTCGGGTGTCCCGACTTTGAAATACTCTGTACATATGTTTACAATAATTATAGAAAATAAAAAAAATTAAGAAAATAAAAAAAAAAATTTGATCGATTTTACCTCTCTCGGTATTCGAACTCACGTAAAGGGTGTATAATTGCACATTTACATAGCAATTGCGTCTGTGTGAGTGTATGTATGCCTATGCGCATCAATTCGTGTCTGTGTAAGCATTTTCGCAGTTAACCAAACAGCAACATCAACAACAGCCGCGGGCAGCGCTTGAGCAGCGCTGCAGCAGCGCTGCATCAGCAAATATATTTATGGCTATAACTTCTTGTTAAATCGGTCTATCATAATGAAATTTGGCATACGGACACATAATAACTAACTGGGGGTATTTCCAAAATTTTAGTTCGAAATTCCAAGAATTACGGGAGTTACGATTTGCGGGGTAGAGGGGGGAGGGAGGGGAATTCCAAAATATACATTTTCTGCGTATTCACATAAGGCATCTGGGACTAAAATTTGGTGTTCCTAGGTCTTATAGTCTCCGAGATATAGGCGATTATACGAATGGAAAATCGGGAAAACCCCCATAGGGGGGAAGTGGGGGGAAAATCAAAAAAATAAAACAAACTCGTATAGAATACACAAATAACGCATCTTCGTGCAAAATTTGGTGTCTCTATCTCTTATAGTCTCTGAGATCCAGGTGTTCATACGGACGGACAGACGGACAGACAGACAGACAGGGCTAGATCGACTCGTCTCGTCATGCTGATCAAGAATATATATACTTTGTGGGGTCTGCCACGCCTCCTTCTGCCTGTTACATTTTTCAGCTCCCGCAAACCTAATATACTCTTGTACATTTCATGTACAGAGTATAAAAATTTATACTTACATTTATAAAGAAAGCTTAGATGTTTCAGTCTAGAAAGTTGTACGAAGTTTGCCAATTGCAGTATCGCGTTTCGTTTTTTTTTGGAACTTAAATAAACCCATATACGCAGTATTGGGTCATATATAGGTATATTGCGCCCACGACCGTCGAGAGCTCTCCTTAAGGTTTTTGGGGTACTTTATCTTATTTATTCCCCGACTACTCGCCCATATTTACACTTACTATATACAAACATATGTATATATACGTACATATATTTACATTTTTACTCTTTATTTATTTACGCACAAACTAACCGTATTGGCTGTTGGCAAGCCTTTTTGTTGTTTTTGCGTTGATTTATTTTCATTTTTTTGTATTAACTTATATTTTGTTGCACGCATGTTAAACTCACCTATTTATTTATTTTGCACTCAGGCACATTAAAACATATGTATGTATGTATGCAACACGAATTGAATATTAATTTTTATGGTCGCACAGTCCATTATGATGCAGTAAAGCAGCATAAATAGGGGCGGGAGACTCACCTTCGCCATGGAATAGCTCCAGCACGGCCCAATGATAGGGTATCCATAACAAATGTTACCTTTGGATACAGGTAGGGTGGGTACGCCAGGGATATTTCCAACTGCATCCCATACAGTTGTCCGATACCACAATTCCTGTCCGCCCGCCTGTATGTAATTCCTTTTCACGATGTCCGGATACGTGGTAGCTGGAGGGAGTTATCCGATTATTTGTATTTTTTCCGTTGCATTACGTTTCTTTTCTTTTATGTTCGTTATTTTTGGTTTGTTTACGTTTGAATTCGGTTTGGTATATTGCGCGTCGAATTTATTGTAGTGATAGCTATTGTGTAGATTGTTTGTAATCGATGGAGGAACCGTGTTATTGTGCGACTCACGCGGGCATAGGGTTGGAACCACACACCCAAGGAGAAGTTCCGATGAGCCAGCCGGCATTACCCAAAGGAATAGCGTAGTCGTATCACCCCTGTGGCTGATCTCACGCATTAAATATCGCTTTAGTATATGGAAAAAAAGACAAACTAATGAATGAAAGAGATGAACTGATTTTAATCATGAAAAAGAATAATAAGAAGTACGAAACAAATATACACCTAATTCTGTTTTTACAGTCTTTTTTTACACGATTTTGATATAAAACGGTTTGAAAATTTAAAATTGCATGTACACCTAATTCTGATTTTTATCCTCTGTACATAAAATGTACAAGAGTATATTAGGTTTGCGGGAGCTGAAAATGTAACAGGAGGCGTGGCAGACCCCACAAAGTATATACATATATTCTTGATCAGCATGACGAGACGAGTCGATCTAGGCCTGTCTGTCTGTCCATATAAACACCTGGATCTCAGAGACTGCAAGAGGTAGAGACACCAAACTTTGCACAAAGATGCTTTATGTGTGTACGCTGTGCAAGTTTGTTTTATTTTTTGGATTTTGTAAATGTGCAATTATACACCCTTTACGTGAGTTCGAATACCGAGAGAGGTAAAATCGATCACATTTTTTTTTCACTTTCTGCCTGTACTCTCCAGCGATTTTATTTATGGCTATAACTTTCTTCATAATTGACCTATCATGATGACACTTGGCATACTGACAAATAACCACGAACTGGATGTATATGCCACATTTGATTCAAAATTCCAAGAATTACCGGAGTTAGGAAAAACACGAATTGCGGGGCAGTGGTGTGGTGTATCAGAAAAAAAAACATAAACTCGATCTGCCTATGGCTTAGGGAAACCTGAATGCCAAGTTTGGTTATTCTAGCTATTGTACTTGCTGAGATCATTGCGCTCATACAGAGAGACAGGCGGACGGACAGACGGACATAGCTACATATGTATATCGACTTGTGTTGTCATCCTGATTAAGAATATAATTGTATATACTTTGTGGGGTCTGCCACGCCTCCTTCTGTGTGTTACATACATTCGCACAAAACTAATATAGCCTTTTACCCTTTGGGTACACGCTATAAAAAATCGGCCAAAAAAAATCTTGCCCCTGGACTAAATCCTGGTACGCCCATGTATTGTGGTATATGGTATATCAGTTCAAACAATTTTGAAAGAAGAGCAGCAATTTAGTACCTTATCGATAATACTAAATTTTACATCATACAATATCGAATTTGTTAAATATCGGTGGTCACCGATAAGCAGGTCAAATCGATAAGCAAACGGGGCTGCCAGTGCTACATAACTGTTTACTTCAATTGCATTGCTTTTTCGAGTTCTATTTTAAAATATATTTATATAATTAAATAGTAAACATATTAATATGAAGAAATCACTTCAACCGTGAAAATAAATCACGATCAAGTGCGGTGAGGCGTTAGAAAGTGAAGTTAAATTACCACATCAGCTACTCCATTTCTGTGTGTGTACGTGCTGTCATATGCATACATATGAACATGCATACAGACATACATATGCATAAATTAATTGTGTATAGCTCGACTATTATTTTTGTATACAAGTGCGAGTGCAAAGTTGTGTTCAATTATTTCCTTGTTAAGATTTTTTTAATTCTAAAGGCAGCTCAATAATTATTCAGATTTGAGCACAACAAATAAAGTTATATTCAACACACACATAACTTATGTACTTGTACACATATAGACACCGTCATACATATCAACATTCATGTTCACTGACGTGTTTTGTTGGACCTGCCCTGTTAAGTCGCTGTTGTTGCGTTGTACATTTGTATTGCGGGTTTGAATGAGCCTATGGCGTTGTAATTTCGCAGCGCTTGCATCGTTCAATTGATAGTATCATAGCGCAGCATTTAAAGTTTCCATACCTTATACCAGCGCCAACGCCGAAGCAACAAAAGCGACTATATGAACAGATATGTATGCATGCACATAGTAGCCTTGAACTTAGTTCTCGTTAGTCGTACTAAATTTTTGCTGTTGCTTTCCTTTTTTCACATATCAGCTTTTGGCACACGCGACGAGTGCCCACCACACTCGCACACATTGTCATAAGAATACAGCGAAACAAAAACAGAAAATATTAAAAGACAAAGCAACAGCAAACCGAAGTTTTTTCGTGCATGTGCTTGTGCTCGACTTTGGTAAAATAGCCTTCAAAATTATAAAAGTAACATATACTTTTGGATAGCAGAAGGTTGATGGCAGAACTGAAAGAAATTGCAATTGACCGCCCTAAGGCAATTATTACGAATCTGAAATCATAAATCCCTCGCTACACGACATATAATGCAGTAAGAAAACTTAAAAACAGCAATGTCAATTTTGACACGAAATTGAGTTCAAAAGGCAAACATCAGGTGAGTAGCGCATTTTAAAAATGTAAATATTATACTCAATAAGAAGCAAATTGTGTATGTGTGCAGCATTTATTGGTTTAGTGTGTAGTTTCATGTTGTGTGAGTTTGAGCCATGCAGAAACATCACAACATTGCGCAGCAAACAGCTGTGCCTTCCATTATGTCCAAGTTGGCAGCACTATAGCTGTGGACGTCAAAGTAGATTTCATAATTTGAACAATTTCAGGAAAAGAAAACATACTGCAATGTTTCATCATTAGACCAATATATTGCGTTTGAAGCGATTGAGTTTTTGCAAAAGGTCAGCTGCAGTCCAGGTACAAAAGAGTTATTTGTATTTGTATATGTGTATGAGAGTGTGTGTAATATTCGTATAAATGTATAGATTATACATACATACATACATACAGTCTGTCAACTAATTGTTTGCAAAATGAAATTTGTCACCAAATTTCAACTTTAACATTAAATTTATAAATAATGGCATTATTTGGGAATATTTTGCTTATCAATTATTATTAAGATATGTATTAGCTATGGGTATGTCAAAAAAAAGAGACGAATTTCCATGTAAAACGTAAAAGAAACGAAGAAAACAAAACAACGACATTTACGATACTGTCAATTAATTGTTTGCAAAATGCCAACACTGGTTGAAAGAAGACCATAGAAAAAGTAACAGGACGGCCAAAACGAAAAGGACCGATCGCATTTTTTTTACTAGTATTCCTTCCACTAATTCCTTGTAAAATTTGCTTCAGTTTGGTAACGTATCTGTCACTTTGACCATTTTTGCAAACGCACTTATGATAATTTGATACAGCTAGTGTTTTTCCATTATAGCAACGGGAAAACAGCCAAACAGTTGGCCAAAACATATCGAATTAAACTTAGAACAGTCTATAATATCATTAACCGCGCCGAAAAAGAGAATTAAACAGCTATCAAGGCAGATTTCCATAGCTTTCTCGGTAGGATTGCTCACAAATTTTAAAAAGCATTGAAAATAAACCGCAAACGAGCCTCAGGGAGTTGGCCAATAATATTTACAATGACTGCAAGAAGTCCGTGTGCCATAAAACCATCAGAAAAGTACTCAATCGCCACAAGTACTCATCACATGTAGCAAGGAAGAAGCAATTCCTGTCTGCTGCGAACATTGAAAAGCGTTTGAATTTAGCAATATTTAATGCGAACCAATCTCAGGAGTATTGGAATGACGTCATTTTTTGTTACAAGACCTAGATCATGTTGTATTATCATGATGGACCCAGCAAAGTTTAGCAGAAACCAAATACAGCCCTCCAGACCAAAAACATAGTGCCTACAGCAAAATTCGGCAAACTGTATTTATGGTTTGGGGCTGTATTTCATCCAAAGGCATTGGAGAGCTGCGCATATTTGATGGTTTTATGGCACACGGACTTCTTGCAGTCATTGTAAATATTATTGGCCAACTCCCTGAGGCTCGTTTGCGGTTTATTTTCAATGCTTTTTAAAATTTGTGAGCAATCCTACCGAGAAAGCTATGGAAATCTGCCTTGATAGCTGTTTAATTCTCTTTTTCGGCGCGGTTAATGATATTATAGACTGTTCTAAGTTTAATTCGATATGTTTTGGCCAACTGTTTGGCTGTTTTCCCGTTGCTATAATGGAAAAACACTAGCTGTATCAAATTATCATAAGTGCGTTTGCAAAAATGGTCAAAGTGACAGATACGTTACCAAACTGAAGCAAATTTTACAAGGAATTAGTGGAAGGAATACTAGTAAAAAAAATGCGATCGGTCCTTTTCGTTTTGGCCGTCCTGTTACTTTTTCTATGGTCTTCTTTCAACCAGTGTTGGCATTTTGCAAACAATTAATTGACAGTATCGTAAATGTCGTTGTTTTGTTTTCTTCGTTTCTTTTACGTTTTACATGGAAATTCGTCTCTTTTTTTTGACATACCCATAGCTAATACATATCTTAATAATAATTGATAAGCAAAATATTCCCAAATAATGCCATTATTTATAAATTTAATGTTAAAGTTGAAATTTGGTGACAAATTTCATTTTGCAAACAATTAGTTGACAGACTGTATGTGTGCGCATGCATTAAAGAAAATATTTTGTTCGTCGAGAGCGCGCGCAGTGAAGGTCAAGTGCCCCCGCCTCTGCTGGGCTAATACCTGTTTGTTCTTAGTTCGTTCATACATACACACAAACATACATATGTGTACATATATGGACATGTAACGGCTCTCGTCTTGTTGCAGCGCCCTTAAATATAGCAACAGCATTTGCAGTAATAACAACAAAAAATATACGTTTTAGTTGTGATACGAAACATAGGAACATACTTACTATATTAACAATTTGTGCGCACAACAAATACCTAGGCGCGTATTGGGCTTAAGCTTAAAAACGGATACAAAGAACTCAAGTGGTGAGCAGCAGGGAACGGAATTAGCCTCCAACATGGACTCGGATAACGAATTTCTCGACAATGTCGACTCGGGCAACGTCTCGTCCGGCGATGAGGGCGACGAGGATTTCGGTATGGATGTGGATCCGGCAAGTTCGACCGAACGTCAGTTGGATACTGAGGAATATCAATACAAGGTGCTCACCACAGATGAAATCGTGCAACATCAGCGAGAGATAATTGACGAAGTCAATGTTGTGTTGAAGGTAAGTCTTGATAGAAATAAAACTCCAATGTGCATATAAACCATACAGTTGTCCCATAAATTTTTTGTATAATTTTTATACCCTATGCCCGTAGGGTAAAAATGGTATATAAGGTTTGTGCGAAGTGTATAAATGTAAAGTATGCATGATGAGATAAATCGATTTAGACGTGTCCACCCGTCTGTCTGGATGAACGTAAGGATATCTAAAACTATAAAAGGTGAAATAACCAAACTTGATATCGAGATTCTCTTGAGTCCGAGAAAGGACGAGTTTATTTTATTTTTTTGAATTTCCCTGCTTCCCCCGTCAATACTGTCCCATTTCAAAAGCAATCTCTATACTGTTATCTATTTTCGTTTAAATCGGTTAATTCTAAGTAGAGTTATTAGCGAAGGAACTTCCCTCCAGAAAACGCTACAATCGAGCAAGCGCGACAGTGAAATACTCTGTGCCGACAAACTTCCGGCACTGATTTGAAGAAGAGCGAACTTGATTATGCAGTGAAAGTGCGGGACGGATAAATGGATACGGACGAAAATACAATTTTAGCCTCAATGGCAATTCAAGTATATATTGAGGTACAAAAAGAAAAAAGAAACGGTAGGCAAAAAAGGAAGCACAGTATGTGGATGAAAAATTGGTACATGAAGCGTCTCCATCAATTTCTTGATATTTTGTTAAATGGACAGTATTGTCGAAAAAAAATTAAACTGTGTTGCCTAGGGACTAGGAGCTTTTACATACTAAGTTCGGTTAATGTACGCTCAGCTGTTTCCAAAATCCAGGCGTTCATCGAGACGGACGATTTTTCTCGTCTTGCTGATTAAGAATACAGTGAAAAGTCTCTTGGCTGGACAATTACGGTCGATCAATTTTTGTCCGCCCAAGGGGAGTGTCCGCTTAAGGGGATACTTAAATACTTTATACACCGATCGAATGTTTTAGAAAAAGTTTCCGCCGAAGAGAGTCTCCAGACAAAAGAGGTGTCCATTAAGGGAGTTTTCACTTTATATACTTTATGGGGTAGGAGATCCCCCTTCTGCCTGTTGCATATGTACTTTGCACACACCTAATATATCTTTTTTACCCTACGGGTAGACGGTATAAAAATTTGTTTATATAAAAAATCAGTTTGGATGACTGCTTTATGCTACATTGACCTTACATGGTGGACCTGAAATATCTGTGTCTGTCAAAAAGGAGCCTAGGATTACAATTTTAACGCAATAACTCTAGAGCTATGTATGTTGGTGAGAGAAAAAGACCAACGAAAAATATGCATATTCAGATTTCGCAGATTCAAATATATTTACCCAGGGTTCGCAGTTCATATTAAAATTTCAATCATAGGCATATTTGGTATGTTGTTGAAAGTGTTGAAATTCTGTTGAGGAACCATTTGATAACAGAGGTATGTACTTATGTATAAATATGCAGTTGTATCTAGGGATGTAAATCGAAGGGAAAACATCGATGTTGATGTATATCGATGTCTCTTTATAAAAAAATCGATGTTTTAAAAAATTTACTTTCCATAGAAAAAAAGCTATTATTAGGGAGCTAATCAACATAGATGCTTGAAATAAAAAGTGTATATATATTAAGGGAGACTGTCATAGCATTTTACTTAATGTTGTTAATCAAAATAGTACTCGTAAAATTGACTTTTGATGAACTTGTATGGCTTACTTAAAAAAACTGATTATATACAGTTTTTAAAACAACGACGCGTTGCAGATACACCTCTTAGGCATATCAAGTGTGACATTACATATGAAAAAAAGAAGATCAAATACTTAACAATCTAAAATTTATTTTATAAAATACACATTTTAACGAAAACATCAAATAATTCTTCGGTAAACCACACAAAGAAATGTGACCGCCAAACAAAACATGAATAATGTTTGATGTTTGGACAAACATCGGAAAACATCGATGTATCGTGGTAAAAACATCGTCGATGCTCGATACATCGATGTTTTTTTACATCCCTAGTTGTATCGGATACAATTGTGATTTTCCCGTCATAGATAGATAGTAGCGTAATCCAGCATCTTTAAGAATTATGCATTATCAATGCATTGAATCCCTTGCCTAGCCTTGTCGACTGCCACGATACATAACCTAACCACAACGTTTGCTCGTTTTATTGCAGCTCTCCACGCCAACGACACGCATATTACTAAACCATTTCAAATGGGACAAGGAAAAGCTGTTTGAAAAATATTTCGATGGAAATCCAGAAGAGTTTTTCAAATGCGCGCACGTTATAAATCCTTTTTCGAAAGGAACTGAAGCCGTGCGACAGAAAGTAAGCCAGTCATGCACTACGACAATTTGTTGGGCTGATATTAGTTTTTATTCATTCTTTACAGACTACGCGTAATCATCCCGAAGAGTGTGAAATTTGCTTCTCATTGTTGCCGCCAGATGTAAGTTAATCAGAATATTGCGACAGCTTCGCTCTAATATTTTTTATTTCTGCCTATGGTATCAGTCTATGACTGGCTTGGAGTGTGGTCATCGTTTCTGTTTGACCTGCTGGCGCGAGTATCTGACAACGAAAATCCTAACGGAGGGACTCGGACAGACAATATCGTGCGCCGCGCATGGCTGTGATATTTTAGTCGATGACGTCACCGTCACAAAACTAGTGCCCGACACGCGCGTCAAAGTCAAATACCAACAGCTGATCACTAACAGCTTCGTTGAATGCAATCAGCTGCTGCGTTGGTGTCCGTCCGTCGATTGCACATACGCCATCAAGGTCAACTACGCTGAGTCGCGTCTGGTCCGATGTAAATGTGGCCATGTATTCTGCTTTGCCTGTGGCGAGAACTGGCACGAGCCTGTGCAGTGTCGTTGGCTTAAGAAGTGGATCAAAAAGTGTGACGATGACTCCGAGACATCCAACTGGATTGCTGCCAATACCAAAGAGTGTCCCAAATGCAGCGTGACTATCGAGAAAGATGGTGGCTGCAACCATATGGTCTGCAAGAATCAGAACTGTAAGTATGATTTTTGCTGGGTATGTCTAGGATCGTGGGAGCCGCATGGCTCTTCGTGGTATAATTGCAATCGCTATGATGAGGACGAAGCGAAGGCGGCACGTGATGCCCAGGAGAAGCTTCGCTCATCACTTGCCAGGTAAGTAGACTAGCCGTAGTGCGTTATCGGTTACTACATCCCCGGATTTTCAGATATCTGCACTATTACAACCGCTACATGAATCACATGCAATCTATGAAGTTTGAAAACAAACTGTACGCTTCTGTTAAACAGAAAATGGAGGAAATGCAGCAACACAATATGTCATGGATTGAGGTAAGATAAATACATATGTACGTGTCATTCCTGTGAATTTTAACGTTTTATTTCCTTCTGTAGGTGCAATTTCTTAAAAAAGCTGTCGACATACTTTGCCAATGTCGCCAGACGCTCATGTACACATACGTCTTTGCGTATTACTTAAAGAAGAACAATCAATCTATGATATTTGAGGATAATCAAAAGGATCTGGAGTCGGCTACAGAAATGTTATCCGAGTATTTGGAACGTGATATTACATCTGAGAATTTGGCTGATATTAAACAGAAAGTGCAAGATAAATATAGGTAAGAATCAAATGAATAATTTTTAAAACGACAAACACAAACAAGTGCCTCCAATGCTACGGTAAATAATACATATGTACATAATAAGAATTTGTATATATTCTTATTTTTTGAACATAATGCAATAACTTTAATTGTTTTCGCGGATTTGCACACCCTTTACCGATGGGTGAAAGGGCACACTTAGATGGCAGAGTATATGAAACGGAGGTGTGCAGATACCTCATTATGCAAGCACTTAAGCCGTCAGAAAGTTTTAAAAATCTAATTATAATGAAGAAAGGAATACTAAAGTCGAGCGAGCGCAACTCTTAAATACGAAAATTATTTAATTTAATTAAATACAAATTATTCAATACATATATACAAAAGTGGAGACATGTTCATGTACAGTTTTAATCACGTGTCTATATATGTTTATATGTATGTATGCACCACAAAGTTGAACCAAAGCAGCAACAACAACAACAGCTGCGGGCAGCGCTTCCGACAGAGCTGCAGGCAGCGCATGAGCAGCGATTTTACTTATGGCTATAACTTTCTTCAGAATTGACCTATAATGATGAAATTGATGACACACGGACACATTAGTACTAACTGGATGTACCTATCAAAATAGATTTCAAAATTCCAAGAATTATGGAAGCTATAAAAAACACGAATTGCGGGGGAGTGGGGGTGTATTAGAATAAAACAAGAAAGGAATGCTAAAGTCGAGCAGGCTCAACTCTTAAATACCCTGTACCACCCCACAAAAAAGTAATTAAATTAATTAATTAATTTAATTTAATTAATTAACTAAAGCACTTTAATTAATTAACTAAATTAAATATAAAATATTCCATGCATGCATACATACATTTACATCAGAATCGTGCCTTATGCGTGTTTGTGTACTTGTACATATGTATGTATGTGTGCATTGGGCCTGGTTATATGGCTATAACTTTCTTTCCGATCATTCTATCATAATGAAACTTGGTATACGGTTATATAATCATTAACCTAATGTGACTACTTAATAGGGGGGGAGTGGGGGGGTTGGATAAGAAAAAATGAACAAACTCGTCCTTTCTCGGTCTCAAGAGAATCTGTATACCAAGTTTGGTTATTCTAGCTCTTATACTTTCGGAGATCCTTGCGTTCATACAGACAGACAGACGGACATGGCTATATCGACTCGTCTTCTCATGCTGATCAAGAATATATATACTTTTTGGGGTCTACCAAGCCTCCTTCTGTGTGTTCCATGTGCACTCGCACAAAACTAATATACCCTTGTACCCTTTGGGTACAGGGTATAAAAACGCTTTTGAAACATAGATACTACGGAAAGGGTATAACATGGAAAATGTAACAGAATACTTCATAAAGTATTTGTATTCTTGATCAACATGACAAGACGAGTCGATCTAACCCTATCTGTCTGTCCGTCCGTATGAACACCTGGATTTCAGAGACTACAACGGTGAACAAAAGTATTTTGACATTAAAAAAATAAGATTGTTATGGAGATTTTTTATGGTTTATTGAGTTCAAAAATTGTAATGACCTTTTGTAAGCATACAGGAATTGATTTTACGAAATTTTTTAATGTTTATAATAAAATATTGTACCGAAGTCCTTGAACTTTAGCAGTTTCATCACACGTCTTTGATAAGTTTGAACTTCGTTTTTTTTTTTATTAGCCCACACAATCTCTATTATGTTGAGATCGGTGCTTTTAGGTAGCCAATTTAATCTATTGCCTTCGACATTCCTCAAACATGCAGTTTTCATATGCTGGTCATCGAAAATGAATGCGTGTTCATTCAGGACACGTAAATATTTGTCCTTGTTCATTGTTACATCATTTGGTATCAAATCGCCCAAGCCATTGAAGCACATGCACCCCAAGAGCATAACCAATCCTACACCACGTAATCCCCATTCGCACATGGGCCTAATTTCTTGGAAAATATTCTTTGACAACGTGCAATAAATCTTTTCCTTCGATCCATGATATTCAAAAGAGCTTTCGTTTGTTCATAATACTTGTTCCCAAAACGATTGCGACTTGTTTATTGAAATTTGGCGAATATTAACCTTTTTAGATTATTTTTTGTTGGAATTAAAGGAATTGGACGAGCTATATATGCAAAAAATCGGCCTCCTTAGCCTTATTTGGATAGTTTTTTTTTTTTGAGTCAAAGTTATGGAAAGTTACGTGTCCGTAGGCCAAGTTTCGTCTTGATTAGTGAATTTAACAGGAATTTAATGTCACAAATGTAATCTCTGCCCGCTGTTGTTGTTGTTGCTGCTTTGGCTTAACTGTTATGTTTTAGTGATCTGACATGGTAAGTCTCATCACTTTATCTGTCCGTCAAAAAGAATCCTCGGTGCAAAGCTCCAACGTGATAGCTCTAAAATTTGGGGGAAAGCCAGTGATTGAAGTAGTCAGACGGGCATTGCGTTTGTATTCATTCCGCCATTTTGATCGCATATAGTCTATCATACCCATTTTTGAATTGAATTGAAACCAACTTTTAGCTAGCCCTGTCCGTCCGCCGCCTATCTGTATGAACGCAAGGAAAGTATAAGAGCTAGAATACTCAAACATGGTTTTTGTGTTTTTTTATCTGATGACCCCACTCCCGGCTATTCTCGATTTTCCATAAGTTCCGTATACGAAATTGTAGCCATAAGTATATTCTTTGCCCATGCTATGCCCGCAGCTGATGTTGGTGCTTTGGCTTAACGCATAAAACAAAAAAAATATTGAGGTAAATTAATAAAGTAAAGTTAAATTAAAGTAATTAAAAAATATTTTTATTTTTGTATGAGTGGGTAGAAGATATTTAAGAGTTGAGCCCAGTCTATCATTCCATTCTTTTCAATGTGCGTCCGAAAGTAAACAGGACTTTTTGAATATAGCGCCCCTATATGTCGACTGGTGCTTTAGAATCTGCTATCTTTATAGATTGTCATCGATTGGAAGTGAAGTTATTGCGTTTTAAGTGTCAGTATATTTGTGTTATCGGTGCGAAAATGAGCTTCGAACAAAGAGCCAACATTAAATTTTGCTTTAAAATTGGTAAAACTTTTACCGAAACGTTTCAATTGATGGAACAAGTGTAGAGTGCACGAGTGGTTTTAACGTTTTCAAAGTGGTCGTGAGAACATAAATGACGATCAACATGTGGGCCAATCAAAATTCGTGATCACCGAAAATTCTAACGAAACTGTGCGTAAATTCATCAAAAATTAGCCGAAATCATCATTGAAATTGATGGAAATGGAATTGAACATCTCCAAAACACCGATTTATCGCATTTTGACCGAACCTTTGGGCTTACGAAAGGTGTGTGCACGGTTTGTTCCGCACAAATTGACTGATGACCAAAAATTGCTCAGGATCGATCGACGCTTGTGACCGATTATTTGTCCAAAAACCACATTTTAACCATTAACCACTCGCCGTATTCACCTGATATGGCACCGTGCGACTTCTAACTTTTTGGAAAAATGCATTTGCCCATGAAAGGAAAGCATTATGCAGACGTAGAGGCCAGAGGCCATTCAAAAGGCTTGCACCGGCATACTGGCAGCCATACCGACCAACGAGCTAAAACATTAGACTATTTTGATAAAATAAATTGATTTTGCCGAAAAAACCATTTGTTCTGTTTTTTTTTTTAAAGTCCTGTTTACTTTGAAACACTTCTTGTATTTGCAATGAAAAAGTAAAAAGACTATTTTTGTGCATTGCTTCATTTCAGTACCCTCTTTATGCTAAATTGATTAACCTATTTCTATTAAATTTTGGCTTATTGCAGATACTGTGAGAAGCGTCGTACTGTTTTGCTTGATCACGTACATGAAGGTTATGAAAAGGACTGGTGGGATTACACAGAATGACGTGAGTCCTGGCTGGACAACTGAGTCGAAACGGACGGGCAGTACAACATCAGTGCAGCGCATTAAAATGCAATCCTAGGAAAAACCATAAACAGAAAACCCAAAACAGTTGAAATAGCTCTGATTAAGTGAAAAATATATAAAACATAATATATACCCACATAGATATTTATGCGGATATACCATTGTATACTCTTTGAAAAACTAAGTAACTGATGAGTTCTAGGGTCGGACCCTGGGCCAGCTGCCATAGTTCAGAAATTACGTAAAACTGTCTCTTTAAAAAAATTCTCTGGAATCGCGCTTGGCGTATTTAGCAGAGTAAATTGGATTAAATATTAGTTGCTGGTCAAGATTAATCTCAATGAAACAAAACGTGAAAACCAATTTATAAACTAAACTTTGTCTTCACTGACCGTTTTCTCTGGTTTGCGCTCGTTGATCTATTACAACAAAAAAGTCAAAAGTTCAAAAGGTTTTATCCCTGTAAAAATCTGAAAGCTGTGCCATTTATGCTCCATATCACTGCACCCTCATGGGGATAAGCTTGAGTTCAGATTATATTATATTTAAATTTGTTTGAACGAGGACTTAATGCATTGAAAAGTAATGGGCACACGTATTCCACATCCATTTTTTTCTTTACACATGGGTATTTCGTTCTGTAGGCCAACACATGATCTTGTGTATATGTAGTTATGAATCATGGACACACAGGTAGTTTAAACTGAAATAGACGCAAAACATTTTTGTTGTGAAAAATTACAATTGCAAAGATAAAAGTGAGTTTCTAATTCCAGTTGAGTAAAAAAACAAAGCAAACAGCTTAACTTGCGCCGTTCTTTGCAACCACATCCCATACCCAACATTAAAATTTGCATACTTAAACAAACATTTTAGAGATAGCTCTAGATCAGTGAGCACACTCTTTTAAAATTTTAGGTTGCGAGAATAAATAAAAATCAATCAATCGTTCAATTTTTGTTCATTTTAACTATTAAACATAATATTGGTTATTTACTTAAGGCTACATGCATATTTCAAACAACTTTAGGGAATAATCTTGAGTATAAAAAATTAAATCATTAAAAAGTTAATTACAGTATTTTGACTTATTTCTTAGGACAAGGGTAAAACGCTAACTAGAAAGCAATATAAGTTTTATTTTAAAAGCCAAAATTAAAAACAATAATTCAAACTATATCTTTATAAAGACGTCTACGCCCGTTTCCTAAAATAACTATGATCTGCTGCTTGCTATTTCGTGCTCTTCCAGGACGGGAGCTGTCTTGCTCGCGCACTTCGCAGCAAGTGGGAAAACTAAGTGGATACCTACATACATATGTGCCTGCATATGATCATGCATACATGGATACCTGTACATACATATGTACAGGGTGCGTCATCTTTTATGTCGGTATGCAAACATTGAATATCCTTGAAAATAAACAACCGATTTTCAAGTATGAGATATTTTTATTTAATTTGGTTCTGTACAATTTCTTGAACTGAGGGTTTCAACACTGGTCTACTCAAGTCAATCGGTTCACTAATGATAAAGTTATTCTATATCTACATACCGACATAAAGGATGGCGCACCCTGTACATTTGTGTATGCATGTATATATACGTATTAATATATAATTAGTTCACCAAAGAAAAATATGTATAGACACTTAATTATTAGGTTTTTGCACTATAGCCTCTTAGATGTCGCTGCAATCACTTTTTCATTTCAATATTTGTATAATTGCATTATTTTTGAAGTTTAGTTCGATATGTAAAAAGCAGAAAAAGCCGTGGCAGATCCCATAAAGTATAAATGTATGTATATTCTTGATCTGTATGACAAAACGTGTTAATATAGCTATGACCGTCTGTCTGTACAAACGTAAGGATCTCGGGAATTATAAGAGCTGGGAAAAACAAACTTGGTATCTACTAAGATTTACTGATTTTCCATAGCTCCTGCAATTCTTGGATTTTTGTAATCAAAATGGACTATTTTATGAGCCCATATGCTAAGTTGTGTTTGGCCAGATGTAAAGGAAATTAAAGCCATAAATGTAATCTTTGCCCAAGCTCTGGCAGCAGCTGTTTTTTTTTTTGGTTCAAGCTTACCGGTCGCATACAAACACAACTGTACATACTTGTATGTAGACACGCGTAAGCAGACAGAGACACAGGCTCGTTACAAATGTATGCTGCTTTTTACAGTCGAGCAAGCCCTACGATGAAATAGCCTGTACTCACTCCCACGACAAAACTTTTATTTAATTAAATTTAAACAAGAATAAAAAAAAAATTTTTTTAAATTAAATTATTAAAAAAAATGAATTAAATTAAATTAGAATACATGTTTATGTTCAGTTTTAACAGCATACATTTACATCACGTACCTATGCGTGTTTATATGCGAGTATGTATGCAGCACAAAGTTGAACCAAAGCAGCAACAACAACAACAGCTGCGGGCAGCGCTGCCGAGCATGAGCAACGATTTTACTTATGGCTATAACTTTCTTCAGAATTGACCTATCATGATGAAATTTAGCACACGGACACATTAGGACTAACTGGATGTACCTGTCAAAATTCCGAGAATTACGGAAGTTATAAGAAAAAACACGAATTGCGGGGGAGTGGGGGGGTGCATCAGAAAAAAACACAAACTCGTCCTTTCTCGGACTTAGGAGAACCTGGATACCAAGTTTGGTTATTCTAGCTCTTATACTTTCTGAGATCCTTGCGTTCATACAGATGGACGGACGGACAGACAGACATGGCTATATCGACTCGTCTTCTCATCCTGATCAAGAATATATATACTTTGTGGGGTCCTCCTTCTGTGTGTTACATACATGCGCACAAAACTAGTATAGCCTTTCACCCTTTGGGTACAGGCTATAAAAACAGCTGCGGGCAGAACTTGGGCTGAGATTATACCTATGGCTATACCTTTTCTAATAATTGACCTATCATGATGAAACTTGGCATACGGACACATAATCACTAATGGGATGTAGTTATCAAATTTGAAATTCTAAGAGTTTCCGGAGTTATGAAATATACCTAATAGCGGGGGAGTGCATCGGAAAAAAACTCAAACTCGTGTTTTATCAGACTAGCAGAATCTGGATATCAAGTTTGGTTATTCTTAGCTTTATACTTTCTGGGATCATTATATGTGTATTATGGAATTTCCCTACCACCCCCCTCTCCCATGAAAATCGCGATTTTCTCTAACTCCTGTAATTCTTAGAATTTCGAACGCAAATTTTGCAAATGCCAGTTAGTTAGTTATTATGTGTCCGTATGCCAAGTTTCACTATGATAGACCGATTTAACAAGAAGTTATAGCCATAAATATATTTACTGCCCTCGCGCCCACGCGAAATTCCAAGAATTACGGAAACTACGATTTGCAGGGGAGAGGGGGGAGGGAAATTCCAAAATACACATTTTCTGCGTATTCACATAAGGCATCTTGGACTAAAATTTTGTGCACGCAGGTTTTATAGTCTCCGAGATATAGGCGATTATACGAATGGAAAATCGGGAAAACCCCCATAGTGGAGAAGTGGGGGAAAATCAAAAAAATAAAACAAACTTGCGCAGCGTACACACATAAGGCATATTTGTGCAAAATTTGGTGTCTCTATCTCTTATAGTCTCTGAGATCCAGGTGTTCATACGGACGGACAGATAGACAGGGCTAGATCGACTAGTCTTGTCACGCTGATCAAGAATATACATATATATGGGGTCTGCCACGCCTCCTTCTGTGTGTTCCATGTAAACTCGCACAAAACTAATATACCCTTTTACCCTTTGGGTACAGTTTATAAAAAAAAATATATATAGAAAGGCACATAAGCAATAACCGGATGTAAGTGTTGAATTTGACTCAAAAATTCAAAAAAAAAATGTACAGAATCATTAAAAGGGGGAGTGCTGAAAAAAAAACTTGATCTGCCGAGAGCTTAGGAAAATTCAGGTTTCAAGTTTGGTTGTTCTAGCTAAGGAGGACAGACGAACACGGCTACTTGTATATCGCATTGTATGGTCATACTGATAAAAAACAAGAGAGAACGCTACAGTCGAGCAAGCCCGACAGTAAAATACGCTGTACTTTCCACAAAAAGGAAAAATTAAAAAAAAATTTTTTTAAAATTAAATTATTAAAAAAAATGAATGAATTAATTAATTTAATTAAATTAGAATACATGTTTATACAATTACATCACGTACCTATGCGTGTTTATATGCGAGTATGTATGCAGCACAAAGTTGAACCAAAGCAGCAACAACAACAACAGCTGCGGGCAGCGCTTCCGACAGAGCTGCAGGCAGCGCATGAGCACCGATTTTACTTATTATAACTTTCTTCAGAATTGACCTATAATGATGAAATTGATGACACACGGACACATTAGTACTAACTGTATGTACCTACCAAAATTAATTTCAGAATTCCGAGAATTACGGAAGTTATAAGAAAAAACACGAATTGCGGGGGAGTGGGGGGGGGGGGGGTGTATCAGAAAAAATAAACAAACTCGATCTGCCTAGGGCTTATAGGAACCTTGATACCAATTTTGGTACCTGTACCCAACGGGTGAAAGGGTATACTAGTTTTGTGCGAATGTGTGTAACACACAGAAGGCGTGGCAGACTACACAAAGTATATATATTATTATACTCTGTACATAAAATGCACTAGAGCAGCGGTGGGCACGAAATTTTAGTTTGGGAGTCCTACAACAACATCTACAACAAAAACTACCGTTTGGGTTATGAGAACATCATAAACTGCGAGCAAAAAATTAGGGAAAAAAAGTACACCGAAAAAAATTTTGATCACATTTATGAACATTCATTTAATAAGAGATTTTTCTCGTTATGAGGTTCTTCTTTTAATACACCCTTAGAAAGCGTTGGCTTTAGCTTAGCGACAAGTTCCAACCTTTCTCTATCATTCAACATGCCATATGCATTTTCATGGTGATTAAAATAGTGCCGCCGAATATTATAATTTTTTTTTGAACATACCACAGTTCCGCAAATAAGACACTGATGTACTCCCACATTTAATAGCGAAAAAAATACCGCATCTCAATCTCGGAAATATTAATTGTTCAGTTTTAAATCAAATATAAGTAAGATTATAAGTAAATAACTTGACGAAAATCATAAAAGTTTTACTGAAACACTATAATTTATAATTTGTCAATACACTTTGAATGTCAGTGCATAAGTGACCGTCAGCGGGTATTGCAAATCGATCATCAGTACACACACTGTGTGTATTTTGTTATTGCATCGATCTACTTGTGCGTCTGGCTGGCGACAACACTGCGTGTATTTTGTTATTGTAAGTTTGCTCG